CTATAGTCAAGGTATTCAGGATGGTTCGTTGGTCTGTGATTCCCCCCACTTGCCTGCTAAAAGTACAAATGTTTAGCTTTCTCTTTCTCCTCCCTCCCTCTCCAACATTTTGACTTTCTCTTTCTCCTCCCTGTCCAACATTTTAACTTTCTCTTTCTCTCTCTCTCTCTCTCTCTCCAGTCAGAGATAAAGCAGAGAGCTCAAGTCGCTACGTATTTCGAGAAATTCGACGAAGCCGAGAGGCTCTATTTAGAGTTGGACTGTCAGAATCTGGCTGTTGATCTGAGGGTTAAACTTGGCGACTGGTTTAAGGTCGTTAACCTCCTCAAGAAAGGGGGTGGAGCCGGTGGGTGTGGCTTACATATTAAACACATTTGATGCGTGAAATAAATCTCATAACTCCAATGATGGGATGGTCCACACAGCATGTGGCATGCAATAAACAACACTTCTGTAGTGACTAAAACACGCATAATCAAACGTGTTGGCCACACTTGTATATTTTCATGCAACATGTTGTAATGATCCATCATACCGTTGCTTTCAGGCGTGTCAAACAAATAGATTTAAGCTGTGTATGTTGGCCTTTATTATATACGTACCCTGGGCAATACCTGCTGTCTTACTGCACAGCTGGGGACGATGCTCTGCTAACTAACACGTGGAATACAATCGGAGACCACTACTATGATAGACAGCAGTGGTAAGCATAATTAAAAGAACTTCTACAGCACCAGTATAAGTTGTAGCTTGCTACCAGGGGTCTTCATAGTCCCTATGGCCATACTACTACTGTTTGTAAACTATACTGCTCTTGCTTTCGTCTGCATTAGCAAACTTTCAAAATGTGCTATACCTTCAAAATAGCATTGGTTTACTTACGTCAATGCTTTTTGCTCTAATCCAGGGCTCGTGCTGCTGACTACTATACCCAGGGACACAACTCTGGGAGACTGGCTGAGTGTTACTATAGTCTGGAGGAATACGACCGTCTCGAGCAACTTGCTGACTCCCTCCCTGAGAATAACCCTCTCCTCACTGTGTGTTATACTTAACCCCCTCCTCACTGTATGATGCATTTAAACCCCTCCTTACTGTATGATGCACTTAACCCTCGCCTCACAAACTTAACCCTCTCCTCACTGTGGTATTTCTTTGCAGAAACTGGCCACCATGTTTGTGATGGTAGGTATGTGTGACCAAGCGGTAAAGGCCTTTACTAAGGTGATCACATAGTGCGATGTTTATTAAGCATCAATGGAGTTTTATTGACTGCAGGTGAATATGATCGACGAGGCAATAGATTGCTGTGTGCAGCTCAACCAAGTGAGTATATAATGCTTACAAGTCCTGGACACTGCGTCCGAAGTATTATTATGTGGGTTCCACATCATTGATGATGGACCTTGTATACATGTTGTCCCTGGGCCTCTGCAAAAAGAAGTATGCATGTTGTCAGTTTATAAAAATGGGTTTCCAGCAGTTTAGCTGTAGAGTTAGACGAAAACCTTTCCTATACAAAATGTTTGGTTCAAATCACACGTGCACAGTTTTTTCATGCCATTATAACTCACTGTATATCTGTGTCTGTCTGTATCTCTATGTAGTGGGACAGGGCAATTGAATTGTCCAGAAGACACAGTTCTCGAGACATCAACAGTCTCCTGGTCAAGTGTGCAGTCAACCTTCTAGACAAGGAGAAGATTCTCGGAGCTATCGAACTGTATCCTAACATTAGTCGCACTCTATAAGAACCTGTATGTATATGAAACACAATAGTTAGATAGTATGTCTGAACGCTTTAAGGCTTAAACTGTGTCTTGGACTTTAACACAGTATGTCTCGACAGATATCGTAAGGCAAATCGCTCAGTGAAGGCAGCTCAGCTGTTAACTGAGGTATATATGCTATATACAGTGGAACCCCTCTAATCCGGACACCGATGGGACAGAAGACTATATAGGAAGGTGTTTTTATTTCAGGGTTGTCCTTAGAGAGGGGTTCCACTGTACTGCACATGTACCGTGCCGATGTGTGATTGCTGTGGTGTTTATTTCAGGTAGCCAGAGCTGCCTCCAGACAGGGACTCAGTCCACTCGAGATAAAGAAACTCTACGTGCTAGCTGCTCTCTTGGTGACTAGACCACTACATACAGTGGAACCCTTCTCTAAGGAATAAGAACACCCCTGAAATGAGGACACCTCTGTAATAAGGACCATTTCTTTCCCAAAGAACAGTTCTTGCATGTAATTTAAAAGGATACATCACTAATATAGACACTTTTTTCTGTTCCATTGGTGTCCAGATTATTCTTTCAAAATACCAATTTCTTTCTTCTCACCTTTCATCTGTCCCCATTTCCCTGTCTCTCCCTCTCAGATTGAGCGACACCACAGGCACGTGAAAACGCAGGCTAAACCAGCAGCGAAGGAACACTCCACATCTCTCTCACACTCGTCCACCGTCACTGACAGAAAAGAAGAGGTATTATATTATTACATAACCCTCTACACTCCATACGATACTCATCTCTTCTGATTTGTGCAGGTCCAGGCAACGCTAGCAAGTCTTTTGCAAGATGATTTTTCTGAAGCTGTCGATTCTTCGCTTGTAGACAATGCATGGAGAGGAGCCGAGGTAAATTTTTGAGTGTCAACCAACTGAACCACTAATAATTTTACTCCCTCTCTGCAGGCATACCATTTTTTCATGTTGGCTCAGAGAGAACTCTACAGTGGAGCTCAAGAGACCAGCCTCAAAATTGTAAATTTGCTCGTTCCCCACATAATTTTTCTCGAAATTTTACAGATAACCCGATAAATTTACACGTCCCACTCAATTTTACTTCTGATAAGGCCCTGTATTTGAGAGATTTTGAGGATGTGCTGCCAGTCCACGACCTCTACTGTCTACTGGCTCTCTCTGCTATCATGGCTGGAGCCTATGGTGTTGCCTCTAAGGTACGTACTGCATAGAATATTGTTAGAGAGAAAGTTCTTCCATTTGTAAGTTTCCCAAATTTATGTTTCCTGCTGTACATTAGGTGAACCCTTTGAAGGAGAGGGTCACAAAAGTTTTAATGTGAAATATTTAAAGGGAGGATGGATTTATAAAGCAATCCGCTACACACAAAAGATTGAGCACAGATTTGTGAAGGTGGAGAGGGCAAGATGGCGTTTTGTTACTTACTACAGGCGTTCATCAAGCTGGAGTCAATGTCTGACCTGCCTGACTCAGTGAGAACCAACATTGAGAACATCTCAGTCGAGATATTTGTGAAGTAAGATTTTTTATCGGGACATCCCAGATAACAATTCGGGGTGTCCGGTTTGAAAATGTTGTTTTGCTGCAGGTATCCACCACAGGATACAATATTTAACCAAATACAATGTCCAAGATGTGACTCTATCATCAATGAATGGTGTGTATTACACATTACGGACGATTTTCAATTTCACCTTATCCTTTCTCCCTCCCTCCCCCCTCCCTCCCTGTCCCCCCTCTCCATCTCTCTTCAGGACCCATTTTGTCCCAGCTGCCATACGAACCTCCCAATCTGCATAGCAACGGGCCAACCTCTGCTGGAGTACCACTCGTGGAAATGCGTCGTGTGTCACCGTCATGCCTACGAACAGGACATTAGGACATTCAAAAACTGCCCACTCTGTCACTCTCCTGTACAATTTTAGCATGCCCTATCACTTTTATCGCGCACTGCTCGCGCGTTACTCGCGTTACTCGCGAGTGTAACAACCTTTGTCCTTGAAAATTCAGCGAAAGTAGCGAAGAAGGTGAGAAACCATGACCGACGGACTGCGAGTGATCCTTCTAGGTCCACCTGGTGCCGGAAAGGGAACTCAGGTACGTCTGAGAGTGGCGCTTGACTCCAGCTGGCGTTTCGCTGCGTGGTTCATAATATTATCTGTGTGGCTTCCATGAATCGCGCGTCCACGCCCCCCACGCAATCATTTCGTGGTCCCTAAAGCCCCCTAGCGGTCTCTTCTAGTTTCATGTGTCGTTGCTGCTAAACTGTATTCATCTTACAGGCTCCAAGGCTTGTGGAACAGTATGGAATCAAGCACTTATCAACAGGTTATTTTAGCTGTATACCCAGTATCTATACCTTACAGCAGTGAGGTTTGTATGTATGGGATGCTTCGTTATGCATTCTGCTGTACACACCAGCTATCTCTCTGTGTAAAAGAGCATGAAATGTAGCTATCTGTAAAGAGTGTGAAATGTAACTTCTTTGTTTGTTACAAGCTGTGTCTGTTCCACATGAAGGTGATATGCTGCGAGCAGTGGTGGCCTCAGGCTCGCAGCTCGGCAAGAAGGTGAAAGAAGTAATGGATGCCGGGAAGCTCGTCAACGACGCTCTGATTGGAGAGATGATTGAGGAGAAGTTTAAGGAGCCAGAGTGTCAGAAGGGATTCTTGTTGGATGGATTTCCCCGTAATGTCAAGCAGGCAGAAATGGTAAGCGAAGATAAGTGGTTTTTATAGATTGAATTGAAAAAGAGTGCAAGTTAGAAAGATGATATATGGGTGGTTTTGGGGTAGAAAAAGTTCATGGGGAGAGAGGACAAACCAAAAAAAAAGCGACCCTGCCAGGATTCGAACCTGGAATCCCCTGATTCGTAGTCAGATGCCTTATCCGTTGGGCCACAGGGCCGGTCGCGGTTAAGCTCAGAAACAACACGCATTTTATAGCGGTCATATCATTCTTCTATGCAGCTCGAAAGGGTGCTGAAACGCTCCGGATTGAAGTTGGACTGCGTCATAGAGTTCGTCATAGACGATGAGCTACTTGTACAAAGGATCACTGGAAGGTCCGTGAATACTTTTTGTTGAATGTAGATAAAGTTTTTCGCTTACAGGCTTATTCATCGATCAAGTGGGAGGAGTTACCACAAGATTTTCAATCCACCAAAAGTCCCAATGAAAGATGACGTAAGGGTGCTGTATTTGGCTGCCAATTTATAGTGTAGTGTTTCTTTAAAATGGGGGATCGCACATAAGAAAGTTGTGAAATAGGAGAAAGACATAATATAGAAGCATAAGAAAAGTTTGGAGCTAATATTATAGGGGGGAAATACACAAGGGTGGAGCGAGATAGGGGGAAAGATGTAACATGGGTTGGGGCAAACGAAAAAAGTTGGAGCGGTCAATGGTTGCATGGAGCAAGACTGTAATTTCCCCCCCCCCTATGTCGGCCTGACGTTTCATTTTCCCCTCCTTCCTCTCTCTTCGTTGCTATAAGGCAACTGGGGAGGACCTAATCCATCGATCTGACGACAACGAAGAGGCACTCCGGACACGACTGGAGTTGTACCACTCCCAGACTACTCCGCTGGTGAAGTTTTACTCCAAACTGAACCTCCACTCCAAAGTCGACGCCAGCAAGAAACCGGAGGACGTCTGGAAGGAAGTCGAAAGCCGCAATCAAAGCTAGGAAGTGAATACGACTGCAGATCGTATAGTCTAGCTAGTCTAGCTGGACTGGCTATGTGAAATAGGGATTATAGTAGAGTATGTCATAATTATATTATACAGATGAGGTAGTAGTGTCTTTTACATTTCATTATGAAATAGATATAAGCCAAACCAAGTTGCACCATTAATTAAAGTGAACACGTCAGTACATACGGAATAGATAATTTAGCAACAAGGCTTAGTCAAAGAAATTAGCCTTTATATAATATTATTATATTCCCTCCCTTCACCTGCACATAATTATTGTGCATACCAAAACCATTTTTGCCAGTTGTTTTTTTAGCGTGTGCATTTAAATTGACTATCAAAACCGTATAATACACATGGAACTGTAAATTTATGTCAAAAAACTACGTATTATAATGTGTGTGACCAATCTGGTCGGTCAATAGGGACTCATGGCTTGTTGGAAATTGCCATGGTCATAAAATCTTCGTAGCTAACGGTGATGACTCCGTTGAGGTTGGTATCTCTCGTTCGAAACGCATCCGTGAGCGATCGCAGCATGACGCAACTCTGTATGAAGTCGTCAAACTTCAGGCTCTTCTTTGCGAGGCGGTCGAAGCGCATGACGACGAGTTGACAGAACTGGGTGGAGACTCTGAACCCCATCTCGTTGTAGGCGGTGAGTAGCTCGCCGAGGTCGATGTTGCCGGAGCGATCGCGGTCGTAGCGATCAAATACCCCCTTCCACTGATTGATGTACTGCCAGAGCTGGGAGAATTCCTGGACATCAATGGTTCCATTGCTGTCTCTGTCAAATAACCCTGTGTGTGTACGTATGATAGAGGGAAGATGACAGTATTGTAAGAAGAATCGTCCATGTTAGTGAGGTGTCGTGCTAAACAGCTCACATTCTCACAACACAACACAAGAAATAGAATTAGGAAAAGAAGGGGTTCATGACGTACATAAGCCAAAAACACACAGACAATATCTGTTCTTGGGGAAAGAAAGGTAATAGGGGGACATGTCCTCATTTCAGGGGTGTCCTTAGAGAGGGGTTCCACTCTACTTCTGATTTGAATAATGTTTCTTTTATTATTTTTATTTCCCTGCTGTATGGTAAGTGTAAGTGTAACTACTGCACCGATCATTAGACGGCAGGTCTCGGGGTTGAAATGAGACCAGTTGCCATTGGTCAGTGCCTGCTGGAGCTCCGTGGCCGTGATGGAGCCACTGTTGTCTGCGTCCACGGCAACAAACCAGGAGTAAACGCTAGGGTCAACCCCAGGGGGACACCCAGGTGGTCCGCTAGCTGAAATGAGGGGGCGGGGAGAGAGAGAGAAAAATAGAGGAAACCAGCTGCATCTCCAATATGGAACAGGCCATCTGAATGACACAGTAAAGGAGTAGATACGCACACTCCAGTTAAAAATCTTTTGCCAACTATATAATTATATACTTGTACTGTGGACACAAGAACGATATTGTTGACAGAAAAATTGCTTACCTGGTGGTTGTCCTGGGTAACCGCCAGGAGCTTGTTGCCCAGGGTAACCGCCAGGAGCTTGTTGCCCGGGGTAACCGCCAGGAGCTTGTTGCCCGGGATAACCGCCAGGAGCTTGTTGCCCGGGGTAACCGCCAGGAGCTTGTTGTCCGGGGTAACCAGCAGGAGCTTGTTGTCCAGGGTAACCAGCAGGAGCTTGTTGTCCAGGGTAACCAGCAGGAGGGAGTTGTTGCCCGGGGTAACCACCAGGGGGAGGTTGCTGCCCTTGGTATCCACGAGGCGGAAACTGTTGCCCGGGGTAACCAGCAGGAGGGGGTTGCCCGGGGTAACCCTGCAATCAATGACAATCAGTCACTTACATCAGAAAATACAGTATGATAGCTGAGACGAAAGTTTGGAGCGAGGTAGAGATATATACATACAGACCTGCGGAGGACCGTACCCACGAGCTTGACCGTGACCTTGGTACGCCATGGCCGGCCACAAAACTACAGCTCCACCTAAGAAGGCAAAATCAATCCAGAAATGAACGAATTCTCAAGCCAAGGGGTAGCAGCGACCACGCCCACTCGGGTAATGACCTATGACCTTTTGCGTTAATAACCCTTCTCTCACAGAATATTGTTTGCAAGCTCGGCGCGGCCGGGGAAGCAATGGCGGTGAAAAGCCTCTTTAGTTGTCGGATCGTCGACATCAGCTCATACAACGCCACTCCTGTGAAAGATCTAGACGTTTGCTACTCAGAATTTCGCTCCAGCGCCGTTGCAAAGGTTCCCGTCGTCCGGATCTTCGGCTCCACGCCAACCGGACAGAAAACGTGTCTCCACGTTCATGGAGTATTTCCGTATATCTTCGTTCCCTCTCCGGTTACTAACCCCTCGCCGAGCTACCTCCAGCAGCTTGCATCCAGCATTGATCAAGCTCTCCAGCTCTCGCTGGGCGGAAACGGGTTAAAATCGGACCAGCATCACGTGTTCAAGATATCAGTGGTCAAGGGAACGTAAGGGTTAAAGTTGTGCGAAGTGTTATTCTTTATGCACCTATTTATAGACCAATGTATGGGTATCACGAGGTGAAAGATTTATTTCTGAAAATCTACCTCTATAATCCTGCCATGACCAAAAAGTAAAGTTTTGCAGGTGTTCGTTCTTGTGTGGGTTTTGAAAGGGTTAAATTCACCGCAGATTGTCCGAGCTGTTGGTTGCGGGGGTTGTCATGGGAACGGTGCTGCAGCCACATGAAGCTCACATTCCGTTCGTGTTACAGGTCAGAAAAGAGAGAGAGAGTATAATAAAAAATTTTTTTTCTTTGCAGATGATGATAGACTACAATCTCTACGGCATGAACTTCATCCATCTCTCATCGATCAAGTTCAGATCAGCCAGAGGTCAGTCACAGAAGAGTTAAATTTTAAATTTGTAGAACAAATGGACATTATAAGACTCACTTTTTCCAGAGAGAGTAACTCCAGAGAGGTCACGAAGTCGATCATTTTCTTCTCCTCCTCTTCTCTCTCCCACCTCTCCCTTCTCCTCCTCCCTGGTCCCGACTCCATCCCAGCAAGTATGGGATGTGGACGGCTTACCTGGGTGAGCCCCTCCCACTAACTGCAGTCATTGAAGCAAGCCACATTATTATAGTTGGCCTGTTACTTTTATCAAAATACCTGCACTCTCCTGTTGACAGGCTAACTATAATAATAGTATGTAGTCAAAGTATTAAGGATAGTTAGTTTATTTATCTCTTCTTGCTCTCCTGTTCGTACAAAATCGTTGACACCCTTATTTGGGAGGACAGTGAAATATGGGCAAGATAGGAATCGGTGCAGTGAGATAGAGTATGCCACTATTCCATAGTCCAACTGTAGTCAAAGTATTGAGGATGGTTAGTTTGTCTCTTCTTACTCTCTTGTTCGTACAAGAAATGCAAAATCGTTGACACCCTTATTTGGGAGGACAGTGAAATATGGGAAAGATAGGAATCGTGCAGTGAGATAGAGTATGCCACTATTCCATAGTCCAACTGTAGTCAAAGCACTAAGGATAGTTAGTTTGTCTCTTCTTACTCTCTTGTTCGTACAAGAAATGCAAAATCATTGACACCCTCATTTGGGAAAACAGCGAAATTTGTGCATCGGTGCAGTGAGAGTGAGTTTGCCACTATTCCATAGTCCAACTGTAGTCAAAGCACTAAGGATAGTTAGTTTGTCTCTTCTTACTCTCTTGTTCGTACAAGAAATGCAAAATCATTGACACCCTCATTTGGGAAGACAGCGAAATTTGGCAGATAGCGTGCATGAGATAGAGTATGCCACTATTCCATAGTCCAACTGTAGTCAAAGCACTAAGGATATTAGTTTGTCTCTTCTTACTCTCTTGTTCGTACAAGAAATGCAAAATCATTGACACCCTCATTTGGGAAGACAGCGAAATTTGGGCAAGATAGAAATAGGTGCAGTGAGATAGAGTATGCCACTATTCCATAGTCCAACTGTAGTCAAAGCACTAAGGATAGTTAGTTTGTCTCTTCTTACTCTCTTGTTCGTACAAGAAATGCAAATCATTGACACCCTCATTTGGGAAGACAGCGAATTTGGGCAAGATAGAATAGGTGCAGTGAGATAGAGTATGCCACTATTCCATAGTCCAAACTGTAGTCAAAGCACTAAGGATATTAGTTTGTCTCTTCTTACTCTCTTGTTCGTACAAGAAATGCAAATCATTGACACCCTCATTTGGGAAGACAGCGAAATATGGGCAAGATAGAATAGTGCAGTGAATAGAGTATGCCACTATTCCATAGTCCAACTGTAGTCAAAGCACTAAGGATAGTTAGTTTGTCTCTTCTTACTCTCTTGTTCGTACAAGAAATGCAAAATCATTGACACCCTCATTTGGGAAGACAGCGAAAGTTTGGGCAAGATAGAAATAGGTGCAGTGATATAGAATGCCACTATCCATAGTCCACTGTAGTCCAAAGCACTAAGGATAGTTAGTCTTGTCTCTTTCTTGCTCCTCTTTGTGTCGCTACAAGATGAAATGCAAAATTGACACCTCATTGTGACGGGAGCGCGAAATAGGGCAAGATAGGAATATAGGTTATCGTGATATGCGTATGAACCCCAGGTCCAATTCTCTATCATATATGAACCCCAGGTCAATCCTCTAGTATACATTATGACTGTCAATTCCTCTATATGCATCGTAGCCCAGAATGCAAAATGTGACCCCTATCTTTGGGAGAACAGTGTCAATATGCTAATGATAGCATATCGAGCCCCAGTGAGATCAGAGTGCCCTCTATTCTTTGTATGAACCCCAGGTCAAAGTCCTCTATATGCATTCTGAACCCCAGGTCATTCCTCTATATGCATTATGAGCCCCAGATCAATTCCTCTATCTTTGTTGACACCCTCAGGTCAGGGTCCTCTATATGCATTATGAACCCCAGGTCAATTCCTCTATCTTTGTTATGAACCCCAGGTCAATTCCTCTATCTTTGTTATGAACCCCAGGTCAATTCCTCTATATGCATTATGAACCCCAGGTCAATTCCTCTAATTCCTCTATCTTTGCAGGTCAATGATAGTGTGTGTTCCGAGAGTGAGTGAGTGTGAACTGGAAGTCGATGCACTGGCTGTGGACATACTAAACAAGGAACAAACCTCAGTTGGTCAGTAACTCTACATACAGCTGGAACCTTTTAGATCCTAAAATGCCGTATACCGGTAGTTTTCATGAATGAATCAATAGCAACTTTTTGTGATAAAAGTTTTTTGTTAAAGGCATGCGCGACAACCAAAACTGAATAGTTTCATGATTCCCCACAAATTTCCTGCTACGCACTAAATTTTTCACTCTCTCTTAAGAGTTTTTACTGCTACTATCTTAAACTGCTGCACAGTAAATTGTAAAAAAATGTCTAATGTTGTTCTGTATATAGCAGGAGAAGGATTTCCAGGGCTGGCTGCAGTGTGGGAAGAGGAGAGAGAGAGGAGAAAACGTCTTGGCCTCCGCGACTCCCTGACACCTCCTCCTTCCCCTGGTCCGCCATTACCATCTCGTCCTTCTATTTTTATTCACGCACACACACACACACACTCTCTCTCTCTCTCTCTCTCTCTCTCTCTCTCTCTCCCTTCTCTCTTGTCTTTTCTTATACCTTCCCCTTCTATGTAAAGTGTAGTGCCCACGTTAATGCAGTATTGACGTTTTTTAAAAATCTCTGCAGACAGAGAACGTTCTTCAACAGAACTACCAGAAATGACAGCTGCATTTGCCACCATCATTGAAGAAAGACTAGGACAAAGGTTGAAAAACCTCCACCACGCAAATTTACTCTTTTCTTACTCTTTTTCCCCTGTATCCCTTTTTCCCGTTGTTTTCAGTGAAGATGATATGTCGCTTTCGCGAGTAGCAGCTGAGTGAAACTGAAAAGTCATGGGAGCCATACAACTCAATCAGATCGGCGATGCTAGAGGGCGGAGCCTGTGCGTCGACGAGAAGCCTCTGACAGCAGTCGCAGGAGTTGAGTCAGCGTCTCAGAATCGACTCACTCAGTTAGTTGAGCTCTGAGAGGAATGGTTTTTGGGGTTGCAACATTCTCTAGCGTCTCTCAGTTTAAAAAATCTCATCTCGTAAACTTCCTCATTTTAAGAGAAGATGAAGAGCATGTAGTACTTCTTAATTCTCATGTGAAAAAAGAGCACATGTAAATCTTAACTGAAAAATCTCAGTCTAGGTTGCAGTTTTACTCGAACCATCATCTAGAGTAAGTAAGGTTTTCCCTTGACTCCCTTTGAAAGTTGATATATCTGTGTGTCTGTGTGTAGGGAAGTCAACAGACGAAGAATTGCTGGATCTGATGCTGGAGTTAGCCCAGACTCCGGTTGGCACGGCAACGCAGCAGACACCTTCGCAGTCCCTCTACCAGAGCCAGTCGGTCGCCAGTTCGCTCTGCAGCCGTCTCTCCAGGCCTCCCTTCTCCTCTTCCTCTCTCTCTCTCTCTCGTCCCTTCAAACCTGGTGACACCTCACTCCCTCGCTCTCAACCGGTTTCCAATACCAGTATGACTGGTTCTAAACCCAGTTCACAACCAGTTTTGAGGACTGGCTCTGACTCAAAGCCAGATCCATTGAGCTGGAAAACGAGATGCGAAGAAGAGGTTGCTGAAACAAGTTGGAGTGACGCTGACAGATTTCTTGTGGCAGTGGAGGGGCAAAACTGGTTTGCAAACCCATCTGGTCAGTCGACAAGTGAAGCAGTGGGTGAACCTCCAACAGGGACCAAACCGGTTCAACCGGTTTATCAACCAGTTGAACGAGGAAGCCCCCCACATAGTGAACCACCTCTCCATTCCGCCAGTAAAAGCCCCGTGCCCTCAGACGCTGACCTTTTTGACACCGATTTTTCATCTTCTTCGCCGCTCTTTCTCTCTCCTCCTCCTCCTCCTCATCGCGACATCATCGCCCTAGCTGACTCCGAGGAAAGATTGGCGCACGGAGATGATATAGACCCTTCTGTGATGCTCAATAGTAGCTCCGTCGCCATTGGAAACAGGGATAGAAGTGGGAGTGAAATTGGGGAAACCCCTGAGGTAACGAGCGAGTATGACCTCATCCCATGTGCCCAACCCATTTCCTCGTCCCATCGGTCTAGCCCTTCTCCTAACGGAGCCAGAACGTCTGCCCCACTTCAGGACGCCCTGAAAACTGGTAACCACGACGACGATGGGGAATTCGTCCCAAAAGGCATGGCATCGGTTGACGTGCAGTTGGAGTACAAATTGCCGGAAATATTGTCTCATTTCGAATCATTTCAGAGCACAGCGACTGAAATCCTCGGAACTCCAAATAAAATGGCAGGTACAGAAAGGACGACCCCTCAAAAGAAAGTTGATGACGTTCTACTTGAAGGGGTTAAAGACAGAAATGACGGGGTTAAAAACGAAAAGGAGGTCACTATTGAAAGGGTTAAAGAATCGCCTTTCGATAGTTCAAGTTCACTTGTTATTTCAGAGGGGTCCGACCCTTTGTTAGAGAGCTCGTTTGTTGTCCCAGGCAACACATTGGCAGCTGCGTTATCATCTGAAAGCTCGCCAAAAGAATCGTCTACTCCTTTTAGAACAGAAGCTGGGATAGAGAGAGAGTGGGTAGGACACACTTCAGAAGGGGGAGAGGGGGAGGGGGTAGGACACACTTCAGAAGGGAGAGAGAGGGAGGGAGAGGAAGAAATGTCTTTTTCAGAAGGCAGGGGGTCAAGAAGAAGGAGCAGGAGGGAGGGAGAGGGGGAGGAAAAAGGAACATCGATTTGTCTGTCATCTTCCCAACGGAGGGCAATTCTGCGGCAGCTGACCTGTGCCATGGGTGACGGTGGTGATATGAGTGACGTAGAGGAAGGTGGAAGTGAGCAAGAGGAAGAAGAAGAGGATAAGGAAGAAGAGTGGTTGAGCGGTGAATGGAGCACTCAGCCACTGACAATTCCGGAGAGGTATATATAATGTTGAAGCAAATCACATATAATTTTTGATGTGTGAGTATTTATGTGTGGGTTTACCTTTAGTCCGCAGGATAGCATCGTGCAACTGGACAGTCCCATCCACGGATTGGATAGCAGTACCACTAATACAGAGGACAGGATCAGTCAACTGGACGGACTGCCAGACGATCCCAAAAAAGAAAAACCGGTGACCGATAAAACGACGAAATCTACACTAAGCCTCTCGCTGAAACCGAACCATCGGAAAAGACGTCGCTCTGTTAAAATATCCTCCCCTTCGTCCATTTCTCCGTCTCTCTCCTTGCCCCTTTCATTATCGCCGCCTAATCCACCAGTCTTGACACAAGCTCACCTCAATTCGCACCCTCTTGCCGTGAAATGGAGGGAAAATGCACTCGAACGTCAACCTCAACTGTGCTTGCAAAAAATCCCCGTCAAAAGCCGACAAGTAGGAGATTCTGTCAACGTACGAGACAGCAGCTGTGAGGAAAACGAATCTGCAGACTCTTCTAAAGAGGTTTTGAAGGAGGGACAAAAGAGGAAGAAAATGCCGCAAAATTCGAGAGAAGAGGATGAAATAGGGGACGAAAGAGACTCAACTCCCGAAATGGCAGATACACGGTCTGTCGCTGCGAAACGGAAGCCGAGAGAGAGAGGGAAAAGAGCATCATTTGAAACTTCTGGTGAGACCGAATCACAGGGGAAAACAGCGGGAGATTTAGGGAGATTTGGATCAGCGGAGAGAGAGAGAGGCGACAGAACTCCTGAATTGGCAGTGAGAAAGTCGCGAGAAAGAAAGAGGGCGTCGTCGGAAACTTCCAGTGATAGTGGGTCGCACGATAGCAAGAGGAGGAGACATCGTGAAAGTGGGTCGCAAGAGGCAAACATGACAACGCCCCGCAGAACGTCAAAAAGGAGACGGCTAGGTTTAGTGAGGTCAAGGGTCAACCTGAGATCCTTGAAATCCCATTCCCACACACAGGAGCAACCGAGTCAAAATGAAGAGATCTCTGCGGCAGATTTGCCTCATTCCGAGCCCACTTCCTCTTTCCCTCTCGGCAGTCCTAGCGATGGAGAATTCATCGGGCCGTGTTGTCGTGACGATGGTCACCATAGCGACAGTTTCCTCGACGTCATTCCGGATCCGGAAGGCTCCGAGAGAGAGCTTTCACCGGGGAACGGGAATGAGACCGCACCAGAGGCATCCTTGTCAGAGGCCAGTTCTCAGGATATTGAGAGCGACTTTAACCTGATGGTCACTGAATCTGAGAGTGGCGAAGAGGAAACTCTACTACCAATTAAGAGGCCCAGGGAGGGGGCGGAGCTTGTTGTTAATCGCCATGTTGACGGCAGTTGTCATGGTGATGTCGGGAACCATGGCAATAGGGTGAGGTGGGACGAGTGTACTTTAAACCGGAGTCCACCAGTTAATGTTCCTCCTGGTGTCTCACTTGCCGAAACGGTAGAGCGGATGGCACAGTCAGAGCAGTCTGGGCCCCCGGGGGTCAAAATTTGCCCCCCTCCTCTGAAAACGATTCGTCCCCTCAGGGGCCCCCCTAGTGTGTCTCAGCTGATGGCCACGGCAACTCACTATGGTGTCTCTTACACCGTAAACCCCGCCCCCTTCTACAGCAGACCTGCCGACACCCACCCTCCTAGGTAACCAAGGAGATTAATCTTGCTGTAAGATTGTGCGGTGATAGCGGCGGGATCAATGTGCACTGAAAAGTTACATTTTTCATATTTTTTGCTGAGCAAGCTTAAAAGTGGGAAATTTTTTACATTTTTCATGGTTTTAAGGGTAGGTTTCTTTGTAAATGTTGTGAATGGAGATTTTACGGCAATACAAGGATATTCCTTAATCAATCATTGTGTTTTTTCTTTCCAGAGAAGTCAATGGAAGAGCAGTCAAAATCCCTTCAAAAATGGTTGGTTAATCGCTTTTATTGTAAGAATGCTGTATTTAACTCCTTTGTGACAGGTGAGCGACCTCCCCGAAGCTGAGCCCATTGTTCTGGAAGAAGGGAAGGAAGGGGTTAAACGTAGTGCCACGCCTCTTTCTGCAACTGGATTACGTCATTGGCAAACTGTACTGAGCATGCTCAATGATGATTCACATTTGACCGAAGCCGTAACGTCAACCCCACCCCACTCCCCTCAGGAACCAAAGACCACTCTAACACCACTGCAAACCACATACCATGGAAATTTTAACCCTACTGAAAAGAAACTAATATTAACCCCTTTGCACCCACCACCGCATCCCCGGGAAATAAAAAAATGGATTAATGAAAAAATCGCTGCAAAGCAGAGAAAAAGTGAAAGTAAAAAAAGTGCTGAAAATGAAAGTTTATTGGAGGGGCAAACTCATCAAGACTCTAATCAACCTGTCAACGTGAGGTCTTGTGATTACCACATGACTTGTTCATTCCGTTTTCTTTTACACACAGGTAACTTTAACCCCTGTGTCACTGAAAAAAGACACGTCCCAGCTGGAAGGACCGACGCCTCAGAACCCATGTGGATTCAAAATCAGCCAATCAGCTCTTGCCACGTCATCCGACACACACGAGGTACTGTATATCTAGTCATGTGACATCACGTGATCTTCTTACCTCATTTGTTTTTCAGTATCTCACGGCGATGAGTGTTGAACTCCATGTAAGGACACGAGGGAGTCTGAGACCGGATCCGGAATGGGACCCAGTTTTGACACTCTTCTATTACATACACCATGACTATCCCCATTCAAATTTTGACGGGCAATCAGCAAAATTTTTCCAGAAGGACCTACAGGGAGTGGTTGCTATTGACATCAAGAATTGTGGTTTCCAGGCGATACATGTTTCCAGGGAGACGAAGAAAAATTCATCACCACGGAAACAGCCGAACAACTCACCAAATAAAAAGCCACTTGTTGATTCAAACTCACCAATCACAACACCAGACAAGAAAATGCCCCGAAAAATTAACGTCCATTTCTGCCGGTCCAGGAGGTCAAAGTTCACAGACTACCAGGGGTTACCTGAGTGGGTGTGTGAGTGGGGAAGGTGTGGAGGTGACTTACGTGAGCAGTGAGAGTGAGCTTTTTGAGCAGCTTGTCTCTGTTGTACGCAGGTATGTAAGATGTGTAGCAAAACCTGATACGAATCCCACTAAACCTGGTTTTTGCTGCAGGCACGATCCAGATATCTTGTTGGGTTATGATGTCACGATGATGTCGTGGGGATACCTCATTGACAGGGCTGCTGTTTTGAATTCGAATCTGACCAATCAGATTTCTAGAACACCTCGTAAGTGATCAAAATTTTCCGTCAAATGGAAGACTTAATTTTCGTCTGGGAGTTTATTATACTGAGATACATATACTTTCTTCTGTCCCATTGGTGTCCTGATTAGAGGGGTTCCACTGTTACACCACAGACCAGCCAGATCAAAAGCCAAATGTTGACAGGGCCGATTCCGGTTCCAGAACGAGACCCAAGTCCTCGTCGGGGGGAGTCCAGATTCCAGGTCGGATCGTGGTGAGCGTTTGGCGACTGCTGAGGAAGGAACTGGCGCTAACCAGCTACTCCTTCGAGAGCACATTCTTTCAGGTTGTCTCGGAATTTGAGAAGATGCACCTAATGCATGGTATCAATGCAGGTGATGCACCAGCGGATTCCCATGTTTCCGTTCCAGACTCTGACCCAGTGGTATGAGAATGGGACACTTGCCAAGAGGTCTGTATGCGTGTTTATCACCCCAAGCTGCAAAATTGGCGTTCGCTTGCTAAATTGTTGCAGGGCTGAAGTGGTGGATTATTACATGCTGCGTTGTCACGGAAACTATCAGATGCTGGAGAAACTGAACGTGATTGGTCGGACGAGTGAGTTTGCTCGTCTCTATGGCATAGAGTTTGAGAACGTTCTGACCAGAGGCTCACAGGTATACTAAGTAGCTCTCTTGACCTCTAAATAAAGCACACCTCTCTAAAAAAGGAATGTGGAGGTACATAAGGCTATATATGGCAATAGGACACAGTGAAAGAATGCAATTGAGTTCCGTAATTTAGCCTTTATCTATTGCCACATTTCCCTTTAAGGGACAAGTTTCACGGATTGACAAGAGCAAAGCAATTTCATTCAACAAAATGTTGTGGAACTACTGTTTCTCTCTCTCCTCTGTCAGTATAGAGTGGAATCGATGCTACTGAGACTAGCAAAACCAGCCAACTATATCGCCACTTCTCCAAGCATCCAGCAGAGAGCAAGGTCAGAGTTAAACAAAGTCTTTGTTTTTTTTTGAGGAGAAAAGGGGTCAAGTTGAAGGTGTCCTGATTGGTTTTCGAGGTGTCCTGGTTGTTTGTGGGATGTCCTGATTGTCACTCCACCCCCAGAATGGCGGCTCTGGAGTGTCTGCCGCTGATTCTGGAACCGGAATCGAAATTCTACTCGGACCCAGTCCTGCTCCTGGATTTCCAGTCCCTGTATCCGTCCATCGTCATTGGTTACAACTACTGCTACACCACCTGTCTTGGGCGACTGAGAAACCTGGTCTTGTGAGTGAGGGGAGAGGGAGAAGGGAGAAGAGGGCGAGTGAGGGGAGAAGGGAGAAGGGAGAAGAGGGATAGGACTTGTGAGTGAGGAGAAGGGAGAAGGGAGAAGAGGGATAGGACTTGTGAGTGAGGGGAGATGGAGAAGGTGCGAGAGGCGATTTGTTCTTCTCCCAGTGAGGGGAGACTTCGGGAGAAGGGCCGAAATGAAAACCCGGGATCGGACTCGTGTGAGTGAGGGGAGATGAGAAGGGAGAAGAGGGCGAGTGAGGGGCGACGGGCGGAGAAGTAGACGAGGGATAGGACTGTGCGTGAAGCGAAGTGAGAAGGGAGACGAAAAGGGGCTAGGACTTGTGCGTGAGGAGAAGGAGAAGAGGCTAGGCCTTGTGCGATTGCTGCGGGTCGAGCTGGAGCGCCGGGCGATCTGAGGCGCGACCCCGTGCGGGCGGCGCAGCGCACCGGTCGCGCGCGCCTTGTGCGTGCGGCGCAGTGCGAGCTGCGCCGCGCTCGGACCTTGTGCGTGCGAGCCGAGACGCGCGCGGTCGAGCCGAGGTATAGGACTGTGCCCCAGTAGTGAGCGGAGCTGGAGACGGAGAAGAGGGCTAGGCTCGTGCAGTGCGGAGAAGGGGAGTAAGAGGGATAGGACTTGTGTGTGAGGACGAAGGCCGCAGCGACAGCGGGATCGGCCTTGTGCGTGCAGGGTGCGCTGGAGCGCGTGCGAAGAGGGCTAGGGTCTCCGTGACCGTAGAGAGAAGGGAGCAGAGGGCTAGGGCTGAGCTGAGGAGAATTTGAGGAGAAGATGGGCTAGTGGCTTGTGAGGGAGAAGGGAGAAGAGGGCTAGGGCTCGTGAGTGAGGAGAAGGGAGAAGAGGGCTAGGCGCGTGAGTGTAGGAGAAAGTGGAGGGAGACAAGGAGAGAGACCAGAGAAGACGAGATATAAAATGATGTGAGTGGTTATTACCTCTTCATTTCAGACATGGTAACTTCACGTTTGGAACAACAACTCTCAAATTCAAAGCTATCCAGAAACATCCAATTAAGAAAACAGCAACAATCCCCAAAACAAACACTACCCACCACCAAAAACCACACATTTACCCAATTCACATATCCACCATACATGGGGGGGCCACACAGCTACACATCATCACCACACCAACATAAATAATTCCAGCACAAACTTGCACCACTCCAATCCACGAACATTTCCAACCCACATCGCACTTCCCCAACCCAGGTTGCCCCAATCCCCCACCCTAATCCCACTTTATTCCTTCCAGCCCCACACTCTGTGCCGATCCCCCCTCGTCCTTTCCACCACCCCCCAACCCCGACACACAAACACACGAAGTACCAGCCATACACCATCAAATCACAACCACATAAAATCTCAATACCAAGCCATCAGATACTCAATACAGTCCACATCCCATCCAATGAAAATCTTTACCACCAATTAAAAGAAACATACCACAAATCACCACAAATCCAACAAACCAAAAACCAACCATCAACCAACCACACACATCCACCATCACCAATCCAATACAAACATTCCTCAATCCCACAAGTAACACCCACCAGAACCGCACAACCACCCAACAACGCATCCACAAATCACATACACCACCAAATCAACAGAAAACCACACCACATATCCAACACAACCATCACATCCCACAGTGGGGTGGGTTCCAATACATCCAACCATCCAACAAAGCTCATGTTTTGAAGGTGACTACATTACTTTTCAGTCTTTCATCGCGCTTCGTTTTTCCAATTCAGAAAGTGAAGGATAAAGTAACAATCTCGCCGAATGGAGTGGTTTTTGTTGACCCCACTGTCAGGAGAGGGGTCATGCCCAGGTCAGTCCAGTCTCTATACCATTCCGGGTGATCTCCCCATTCCATCCTCCTCCTCCGTGTCTCCGTTCCGTTCCAGAATGTTGGAAGAGATTCTGAGCACGAGAATCATGGTGAAAGGATCGATGAAGAAGCATGCAGCTGATAAAGTGAGTTCTTCCATTCGAAGTAGCAAATTTTCTTTATTCGCACGAATTTCAACGGAAAGCTTATGCCAAGTTCTTGTCCCATACAATACAAATTTCTATGAACATAATTTTTCAGAAGGGCCACAACCCTCAAATTCTCCCTCTAAAGTGTATTATGAAATATTGCATCATCTACATGCAGGCATTAAATAGAATGCTGGATGCACGTCAGATGGGTCTGAAACTGATAGCCAATGTAACCTACGGCTACACAGCTGCAAGTTTCTCTGGCCGGATGCCGTGTGTGGAGGTGGCCGACAGCATCGTTGGCAAGGCGAGAGAAACGCTGGAGAGAGCGATAAAACTCATCTCGGCTACCAGAGAGTGGCGGGCGAGAGTTGTCTACGGAGCCACTGATAGGTCTGGTGTTTAAAGGGTTAAATGTTTATGGGTCTGGTGTGTAAAAGGTTAACTGTTAAGGCTTCTGTGTTGTTCAGAGCTGCAGATTTTCATGTTATGGGCTATGTAGGATTGTTAAGGGTTAAAACGTGTGTGGGTCTGTTGGGGGTTAAATTCCTTATGTCCTTCTTTATTGTCATCTGCTTCAGTGTCTTAAGGGTTAATTTTTAAATGTCTTTTAGGGGTTAAAATTGCTCTATTGTTCCCTGCCTCAGTGTGTTTGTGTTGCTGAAAGGAGCTTCCAAAGAAGAAGCTTTTAGAATTGGGAGAGAGATCTGTGATAGGGTCACCGCCGACAACCCAAAGCCCATCAAACTCAAATTTGAAAAGGTGTGCGTGTGTGTATGTGTGTATGCTAAAGAGCCAGCTTTCTGTTGTGAGAGAACTTTTGGTAAATAATGGCAAAGATTGGCCGATTGGTAACTTGTTGTTTCTGCTGCAACAGGATTAATGCCCTCTTTCTTTCCCCTTATCTTCTTTCCTTCCCACACACACACCCTTGTCCCCCTCCCCCTCCCCCTCCCCCCTCACACACACACACCTGTCTCTGTCAAGGTCTACTACCCGTGCATCCTTCAGACCAAGAATCGTTACTGTGGATACATGTACGAGACCCCGGACCAGACAGAACCCGTTTACGACGCCAAAGGCATCGAGACTGTCCGCAGAGACACCTGTCCTGCTGTTGCCAAGGTAATTTAACCTGTCCTGCTGTTGCTAAGGTAAACAAACCTGTCCTGCTGTTGCCAAGGCTGCTTTGCCAAGCTATATAATTATTATACAAAACCTGTCTCGTTGTTAGGAAAATATTTTTACAAACTCAATTGTAGTTGTATGAATGCGTTTGTTACATTCATCTCCAATTAATGCCCATATTTCCTCTAATTAATGCCCAGGTCCTCGAAAAGTCTCTCTCGCTTCTCTTCTCGACCTTTGACCTCTCGCAAGTCAAGTCATACGTCCAGAGACAGCTGACAAAGCTGCTGGACGGACACGTCTCGTTACAAGACCACATTTTGGCCAAGGAGTACAGGGGAAGGGGGAAGTATCGGCCGTCTGCATGCGTCCCCGCCCTTGAGCTGGCTCGTAGGGGCGTGGCCACCGACCCCCGGGCGGAGCCACGCCCGGGAGAGAGGGTCCCGTACGTTGTGGTGTACGGTCACCCGGGGCAACCTCTTATACAGGTCGGGAATGTTTCAATTGTCTTCCTGATATTTGTGTTAAACCCTTTCTCTCTGGTTGATATTATCAGTTGGTGCGGCCACCACTAGAGGTCGCAAAGGACCCCACCCTTAGGCTAAACGGAGTCTATTACATCACCAAACAGGTGTGCTATTTTTAGTATATACGACACTGTTACTATAAATAGATATTGATGTTTGAACTCAAAACAGGTTTTACCAGCTCTGGACCGGGCACTGTCCCTGTTAGGCGTGGATGTATACCAGTGGTACAGAGACTTGCCCCGAGTAATTAGAGCACCACTTCCTGCTATACAGGAAACGGGAGACAGGAAATTGAAAGTGAAAACTTGTTCTTCTAATGCAAGGCTGTTCACGTTTGTCTATTTGCAGGGAACTCTGGGGCAGTACTTTGCCACTGTTCATTGTCCGATTTGCAACGAGTTGACAAACGAGGGGCTGTGTTCTAGTTGTCGTGGAAACCCGCAGTTGGTAGCCACCGTGCTGAGTCGGCAAATTCACGACATTGAGTCCGCCCACCATTCGGTTACCATGGTGAGTGAGCTGATAGTTGGCAAACATATCTACTTTCACAAGGGAGAGCCATTCCTGGCTAGGGAGCCGTGTACTTACTAGTGACTTGTGCCAAGTATCCACCAATTTTTGCTGTAATCATACCAAATTGGTATAATGAGCACTGGATATTAAATCTCTGCCCTCTCTTTCTCCATCTACCATTCTTCACTGTCTCCCCCCTCTCCTCTCCTCCTCCTCCTCCCTCCCTCAGTTATGTCACAGCTGTACAAGAACCCCAGATCCATCCATACCCCATCAGTGTGTCTCTCTGGACTGCCCCGTCTTGTACCGTCGTCTGCACACTCACCACACCCTCCAAACCCTCCCCAACCTCACCAGACTCCTAGACCACACCACTCTCTCTAAATCACCATAGCAACCAAACTATCACTGTAACAACTGAATCACCATCAGTCACCATAATATCGCAAAGATCACCATTTTTATTAATGACTGTCTCAGTCACAATAGCAACTAAATGTCACAGTTTTCGGCCTTGTAAATCACCATGAACACAATCACAACGACAGTATTGAAAAGTGCAACGGTGTGTTTTAAGAGATATAAGAAGTGAACGCAAAAAAATTAAAAAAGTGCATTTTGTGTGTATATAATATACAAGAGAATAAGAAAGTGCATGAACGCGAAAAAAAGTTATAGAAAAGGCAAAGTGCAGTGAAAATGAACATAAAAAGTTGCAGAGCATGTACAAGAGAATAAGAAACTGAACAGGAAATGTTAGTTAAACTGCACTCTCTCCCTGGTTGAAATGAAGGTCCAAGATGAAATGGCCGTCTCTAGTTGGCCCACCGTCCTCTTCAACCACTGCCACGTTCTCCAGACTTTGGATGAATATCGAATCCCGCGGACACTCCAACTCATCCTCTGCGCAATAATAAGCCACGATACACAATGGAACTAAGGCTGGCCTTTGTTAGCATAACTATTCAGAAGACTTATATAATATTATATAAGCCAGGCTTCTTTTTTCAGGGCTGTGCCAGTTTTAAATTGTGCACATGAATTGCCATTGCCAGCTCTAAACTCTAGCTCTAAGTTAGATGCTTCACTCGTTCGTGGAAAAACACATTCATTGGAGAGCCTTGTGGAGTCCTTACTGTTCTCTAATGCTGTGGCTCAGGGCTCTAATGCACGTCGCAGTATCCTGGTTTATGCTGTGCTCACACAACATGCAGCTCAGGACCCCCGCGATTCTGTTTCCTCAACTCGGCATCTACAAGACATCAAGCTACACACACACACACCTCTGCTGGAGGGACTGGAGCTCCGTTCCTCTCTCTCCCTCATCAGATCGACGACCTCCTCGGCGGTGTGACCCCCTCCACTCGACACTCTGCGGGGGGCCAGCCCCCCTAATTTGGACGATATGCTCCCAGCAAGACTGGACAGACTGACTCGTGACCTGGAGTCATGGGGTAGAGATGGGGTATGGGGTGTGGGGTACAGATAACGAGGTACGGTGTATGGGGTATGGGGTACAGAGAATGGGGTATGGGGTACAGAGAATGGGGTATGGGGAACAGAGAATTAGGTATGGGGTATGGGGTATAGGTAGATGAACTAACAGTGAAATCTCTAAATAAGGACACAATGGGATATTGAAAGTGGTAGCTTTGTGCCCAGACACCACCTTCAAAGGTTTGGTGATAATTTAGCGATTTCTTCGGTGAACTGATGAATAATTGTTCAATGATGTATAAAGTTGTGCCCAAAGGTCCGTGCATTCCATTGTTTAAAGTGGTAAGCAAATTCAAAAATTTTTCTCTCTATTAAATCCACTTGCTATGGAAGAGACCTTAGATTTGTCAGCCCTGATTCTGGGCAACTTAAAAAGTTACAGAACCAGGCATAAGAGATTCCCCAGAGAGAGAGAGAGAGAGAGAGAGAATCTAGCAGATATAGCTACTGAGCCTCTGTAACCTGATCAAAGGAAGTAAAAGAGCAGGTGGGCTTGATGCTATTTCACTACAGTGCATATATACTCCTTCCGCAGGGCCCTAGCTACTGGCAAAGCGAATACCCAAAATTCTTTACACTAGCAGTCATACCTAATCGATTTAGAGGGAAGTATGCACACTGGATACTAGAGTAAACAGTTAGGGTGGAAAGTACTAAGGGCTGGAGTGTGTGTGGTAACTAACAGAGTATGTAGGGCAAGACAGGTATGTTGCAGTGCCCAGACAGGACAGCATGAGCCCTGTAAGGGCGAATGCTGTCCTGTCTGGGTGCTGCAACAGATTTGTTGGGTATCCCTAGGCAAACGACATGTATGAACCCTTCTTGCACATGTAGGATTGTAACAAACTAGGATGCAGGAAGTTAAGGAGAGTGCAAGAGTTACATATACTCTTCAGACAGGAAAAGAGAAGAGGAAAGAGGGTGGACACAGGTGTGTGTGTATGTGTTTGCCACCATTGTGTGTATATATAGGAGGGAGGAAGGAGAGAGGAGAAGAGAGAGGAGAAGAGAAGAGAGAGGAGAAGAGAAGAGAGAGACATGCTGTATTGTATACATCTTATGTCAACAAAAGAGAGGTATAATTATAAGAAGGGAATATACCTCTTTCTAACACTGGATTCAGGTGTCATTGGTGTCGTAGGAGCGCTTTCACATTCCTCCTTTTCTCCCTTCCTCTCCCCCTCTCCCTCTCCCTCTTTCTCGCCCTCTAATCCACTGCCTGACTTTTCCTCAAGGGTGAAAGGTTCAGTAACCGATGTGTTTCGAATCGTCTCTTCGGTTTCTTCAATGGTGGTTAGCTGCACTGTACTGGCAGCGACTGAGGTGGTTACAGAACTCAGAGACTGGGGCGATTGTTCGAGGTCTCGTTCCAGTTTCCTGGTTCCACAATCTGCTGCCACGTGTCCTATAATAATACGTGATAACCTTTGCATACTAAAAGTGTTTCACACACGGTGCATTATTAATTAAGATCGTGTGTAGTAAACTGCATGCAGTAGCTCTTCAGGTGTTGTTTTGCAAGGAGGTTTGCGTAGAAACAGTTTGCATTATTGGAGTCAATAATTAGCTACTGGCATTGTTAAAAGCACACACCTGGCCTGGTGGCCGCATGCAAAACACTACACATACGAAAAAGAGAGCAATTGCTAACTCAGTTACACACCACTATCTTTATGTCGAATTCCTCGTCTAGTTAGTGACGACTTTGGAAAGAGGTGAGGTTTCCATAGCAGTAGGATACTGGTGGTGGTCATGACGACCGTGGCAATCGTTGCGAGGATGGCCACTACAGCCAGTACCCCAATAGCATCCTGGAAGAGAACACGTCCGTGGAAATAGTAGACGATCATGGATCAGAGCAAGCGAAATAGCTAGCTAGGTAGCTACGTATATATATATGTATGGTGGCTGCGATCGCGAGCGCGACAGATATATCATAGCTTACGTTACAGTCCATGAGAGCAGCAGTGGAAAATCGCAGAGAGATGCACGAATCGACGTCTTCCCGTAAAGCGCACCACCGACACGTACCGGTTCGATTATGCGCATGCGCAAACGTCTGTACGAAAAATGCGCGGCTGCCGGTAAAAGTTACACTCGACTCGTTCCAAAATTTTAATCGGGCGAGTGTGTACAAAACAAATTGGGATTGCGGATTGAGAGTGAGGGGACGGATGAGATGACCAATCAAAACAATGCTCCTATGGCAACCAGAATCACTTGGGGATGACAGTGTTGACTAGACTGCTGTTCTTTCCGTATTTCTCGGTGTTCAGCTTGTTGTTCTTCATCTGGGGGGAGGAGGAGCGACGTTTCTTGGCCGAATCGAAGAGCACTTCTTCTTCGGTTTCACTTTCGCTCTGCATCAAACTGCTCTGCTGGTAACCCAGATGTTCTGTGAGAATTACGGAGAGAGAGGGGAGAGAGAGAGGGGGGAGGAGAGAGATGAGAAGAAAGATAAGAAGAAAGGGAGAGAAGAAGGAACGATGAAGAAGAGAGAGGCACAAAGTTTGTGTTAGGTTTGGGAGATGTCGAGGCGCTAACCTTTCAGTTCTATGTACTGCTGACCTTTCGTGAGCATACGCTTGCTCTCTGCATCGTCGCTGTGATCGTGAATGGCGTAGCGAATCCTGCGCTTTGTCCGTGCCATGTTTCTCCTGCAGTCAGGGAGAGTGAGTAAAGGGAGAGTGAGCAGAGAGAACAAGAAGCAGAGAAGGAAGGAGAGAAGGAATGGAAGGATGGAAAGAGAGCGGAGAGAGGGAGAGCGGAGAGAGGAGGGAGGGAGAGAGGGAGAGCGGAGAGAGGAGAGAGGGAGAGAGAAGGGATGTGCAAACCTTCTAAGACAGCACCAGCAACTCAACCAGAAGACGATCCCGAAGCCAAACAAAATTCCAATCACAATCAAAACGACGTAGAACACACTCCACTCTGAAATGAAGAATAATTATTATAAAAGTCTACTTGTAATGTGCGCAAGTAACGCGTCATGTGCATGCACAAACTGAAAGTTGCACGCTGCTATAAACATGTCCTGAAATACAGTTTGATCCTGTCCTGAAAACCTTGTCCTGAAACCGTGTCCTGTTAGAGGCTCACCACAGTTGCTCTCCTGGCGACCAGTGTTGGCCGTAAACGGGTTCTCCATCCAGAACGTGTCGCAATGACATCGCCTTGACCGTTTGTCGCACGTACCGTGGTCTGAGCAGGACAGCTGGCATTCTGAAAGAGAGATATATAGAAAGAGCAGAAGAATATGTGAGTCAGTTGTGGAAAGAAGAGCTGTTTTGTTCTTTGGTAAAGTCTCCTTATCCTTAAATCAAGGCTTAGCAAGAGCTTTCATTATTTCATTTCAGGGGTGTCCTTAGAGAGAGAGGGAAAAAAAAATGCTTATTGATACAGGCTCTCCCAGGCAAGGGGTTTAGATTTCCTGTGTGGGGAAATGGCATCCTGTATTGTGAGGTTCCCTGACCATAAGGATTCTTGCCGCATTCTAGCGTCCCATTTGACCACAAGCGCAATGCCCTTTTCTTGCTCGAGTAAAAAAATAATTTTTGCCTCACAAGTTTTGGTATTTCAAATACACACGGTTTTTTTAAAGGTTTACCTTTCATATCGACGTGCACAATGTGGTAGCGGAGTACCCTGTAGTCCTGCCCGTTCTCTGTCAATTTTCTCCAGGCGTCGGAGACGTTCATGAACGTGTCGGTCCTGGTGTCGACAGCATAGAACTCTACCACCGTGTGCGGGTGGGACTCGTACACTCCCTGGAACTGTATCGTGTAGTCGTCCAGTGTCAGACTGAGATACTTGCCAAGATCTTTCTGTAATGGCAGGGAGAGAGAGGGAGAGGGAGAGAGGGAGAGGGAGATTGACTCCTGCCACGACAGAACCATTTCAACTCACCAGATCAGCTCTAGTAAAGTTTGATATGTCTGCGTCCAGATGGAGTTGGATGATGTGTCGGTCGTGGGGGTTGGCCAGTACATGGAGAACCATCGCATCACTGGCCGACACGCCCTGGCCGTTGGTGACACGCAGGGTGAAGTTGTAAGTCCCGTTGACCAGGTCTGACAGGATCAGAACCGGTTTGCTGTCCGAGTCCAGCAGCGGGATCTGTGTGTGGTCATGTGACAATCACATGATACTCAGGTGATCCATCACAGAGTATATCGGAAGTGAAAATGCTTAGAATTGTACACATGTACTTAAAACCTCTGAAATGTTGCATTTGTGTTTGTCATCCAAAAATGCATTGCGGCCATTATATACAGTATGTAGCTACTGTAATGTGATCACATGAGTGTCATGTGACTGTCATGTGAAGCTCCACCTACCCCAGCAGCAGGGCTGTGGTCGGAGCGAGACCACTGGTAGGAGGTGATTCCGAAATCGTCCCAAGTGGCCGAACCGTTCAGAATTGCTGTATTTTGTGGCAGGGCGACGGTGAGATCTGGTCCAGCTGACACGTGGGGTAGAATTTTGGGGTCTGAGGAGAGATATAGGAGAGAGAGAGAGAGAGAGAGAGAGTGGGCAGTGTATCATCAAGTCAAACAATACTGTTGAAGCACCAAATCAATACTTTTAAAGAGCTACACTTCGGCAGGCTAGAAACAGCTTTGCATATGCGGTTGGCTGGTGAGTGTGACATATGTATGCCAAAAACAAAAATGGTGAAAATACTTGGCAGATTCACGAAATTTGTGAAATTCGTGGAAGTATACTACTATTGCTATAATGGCATACACCTGTTTGTAAGTGGCAAAAAAAACTTAGTGATTTGTTAGCAACCTTTTTCACGGCTCTGAACTGACCTTTCCTGTACTCAAGATGGGCCGTTGCAGTGGATGTGAGGTTGCCATAGTCGGTGATGGTCAGATTGAAAGTGAAAATAGTGGGAGAGCCCTGAGCTGGGTCAATGTGGAGTTTTGAGACCACGAGGCGAGAGGTGTTTGTTCCTTTCAATATCACGTCTCTTGGTCCACTGGATATAATTAGTACAGATAGAGGGAGGGAGGAGAGAGGGAGGGAGGGAGGAGAGAGGGGGTGGGGGAGGAAGCGAGACAGAAAGTGAAGGCTGTATTTGAAAACTGTAGTGGATTGTTCTGATGACTTTCTCTATGTATACATTCCTAATATATTTCATGGCTTTATCTGTTTTGGTTCTTGAGTTATGCTGGTTAAAGAAGAAGAAGGAGAAGGAGATGATGAACAAAACTCCCTATCATAGCCCCATACATCTATGATGCTACTAGGTACCATGCCCATCCCTACCACTGTACTACTACTGTACTTGTTATGTACATACATCTATGATGCTACTAGGTACCATGCCCATCCCTACCACTGTACTACTACTGTACTTGTTATGTACATACATCTATGATGCTACTAGGTACCATGCCCATCCCTACTACACTATGTGCTCAGTCATGGTACTACTACTGTACTTGTTATGTACATACATCTATGATGCTACTAGGTACCATGCCCATCCCTACCACTGTACTACTACTGTACTTGTTATGTACATACCTGGTTTGTGTCCAGGAGTATTTCATTCCTTTCCCATAGTCATCGGTACTCCTACTGCCGTCGAGTATTTTCTCCGTCTCGGGATAACGGACGGTGTACGGCCCTCCCGCATTTGCCTCCGGCGGGTCGTTCTTCTCTGAGAGGTCAAACAGACAAACACAGTGCAAAATTTTACTCCTCGAAAAAAATTTAGGTCTCGTTACAAATTTTTTCAAGCGAAAAATTTTTTGTGAAATTTAGGTTGTGAGGACAAATCGACGTATTTATATATATACCGAAGAGGTAGTTTTTCCCCACAAACTATACAAGGGTGTATTACCTGGAAGAACATCGACGGTTACTTTGCCTTCGTCAGTGTGGCCGGCCGAGTCTGTCACCGTCAGTTTGAATAGATAGACACCGACGGTGAGTTTGGACACTCGGAGGTACGGAGTGTCAGTGCCCTGCAGAGGTTCACCATTCACGGAGTGTGAAAACCAGGACAGCACACATCAAGGGCCCTCGGGTTTAAAACGTGCGCAGTTTTCGCGGACTCGATTTGTATAATACCTCCATGTCAATTCCGCTCTGCTCGCTCAGCATCTTCCACAGGTACTTGAGTCCCGGCTTATCGTCGGAGGTCCTGGTCCCGTTCAGAACCACCTCGGAGTTGGGCAGTTTGAGAATGACGTCGCTCCCAGCGTTGGCATGCGGGGGGTAGTCCGGTTCCGGTACCACCTTCAGACCCACCAGGCTGCCATTGGTCGCCCCGTCTGAATCCGTCACCGTCAATCTGAATAGAGGAACATAACAGTATATACACATGTGGACTATGGAGCAAAAATAATTATACTTTTGCAATTTGCAACAAACGACTTTCGCGAATCTAAGGAACTAGCAACAAGTGTTGCGTGCCATAAAATGTCCAACCGTCAATGAAAAGCACTTGAAAGTGCATAACCCTCGCCCCTGGTGATTATGGAGCTCCAATAGTAGTTTATTAAAGCCTACATTCATGCGTGCAGGCGAGGGTTAATTAGTTACCGGCAAGAGACCAAAGGGTACATATATACAAATTGTTTGAGAGTGGTTTGCCACACACCCGATCACTTAATCACCCAATATAATTACACCACTCGTGAGTCATGTTTCTCTCCCACCCTAACCCTGGAAACTTTAATGACCGACTTGTAAGTGTATTGGCCGGGCTGAGGATTGTTGAGTGTGAGGAGAGCTTCGTTTGATTCTCCCGTGGTCCCGATGGGTCCCGCAACCAGTTGCCAGTGGAAACTGAGGTTCTCCAGTCCCTTGTCGTCCCGGCTTTGACTGGCGTCAAATATCACCGTACTCTGAGGCAGGGTGATCTGAGGGGAGAAGAGGAGGAGGAGGAGGAGAAATAGAGGTTTGACATGCTGGGAAGCTATTCAATATAGCGGTGTGAAGTATGTAGGTATAGCTGTTCAATATAGCCCATACAGCTGTGTGAAGTATGTAGGTATAGCTGTTCAATATAGCCCATACAGCTGTGTGAAGTATGTAGGTATAGCTGTTCAATATAGCCCATACAGCTGTGTGAAGTATGTAGGTATAGCTGTTCAATATAGCCCTGTGTGAAGTATGTAGGTATAGCTGTTCAATATAGCCCATATATAGCAATATAGCCCATACAGCTGTGTGAAGTATATAGGCATAGCTGTTCAATAAAGCCCATACAGAGCTCTAACACACTGTACGGGGTATTAAAAGGGAGTTAAAGTTTTAGTATTGCCAAAATCATTATCGTTGAAAGTTGTGATTCATTAAAACATTTTGCACCCGTGAAAAGTTCGCTATTTGTTTAGGAGTGAATAGGACAAGATACACATAAGATAGACCCATTGAAAGTCACACTGAGGCAACGTACGGTATAGTTGGTGGAGGGGGAGATGACAAGTTGAGGTGGCGTGTTTTCCCGCGGCTCCTCGTGAACGGTCACGTTAACAAACTCCGCTCCAAACTGTCCACTGGGGGCTGTAGCCGTCACCCGGAGACCATACACTCCCGGAACCAGCTGCATCGTCAACACAAGATATCGCGTCGCGAAATTAGCACATTGGCAATAGAAAAGTAAGTCACAAGCAACCCATACACCTGTATTACATCATTATAGTGAGAAAATTCGGAAAGACTCAATGTGCAGTTTAAGAGTCACCTCGGTTTTATTAAAGCCTATTTCTCTCTGATTTCCAATTGCTTTCTCCTTTAAAATAAGCCAGCAAAAGGTATACACCATATCTAGTACTCAGTCCATTAGCTAATACGTCCTCTAGCAAGAGAGGGATCTTCTTCACCTCAGAGAGGGTGACAGCTGCGTCGTTCATGCCACTGAGTTCTCCCTCCTTGGGACCAAACACCCTGCTCCAGTGGTAGTCCAGAGATGGAGGATCGGGCCACGAGCTGGCAAACAGCTGCACTCGGTTGACCGGAAGGACCACGTCGGTCTCACCAGATACCACTATGGTCAGGTCTGAGGACGAAACCAACCAACCGTGAAATAGCAAAAAGCAGCAGTTCACTCACATTTAACGGGGAATGTGGCAGTATACAAGGGCTAAATTTAGAAACTGTTGCTGAAAATGGAATTTTATTGCACAAGACCATATTGTCTTTAGTAACATTTCTAAATTTAGACCTTATATTATACTGCCACATTCCACATCGCTAAATGCAGCCGAAATACTAGCGGTTTATTTGGTGAATTTGCTCTGGTTAAAAAACAAGTATACCTTGTTCGTGAGGTGTGCTTAGAGAGAGGGGGGGTTTTGTGGTATCTGTGGAATCTTGGTTTTGTGTTTTGCCGGCTTGGTTGTCGAGGGTTTGGTCTAATGTGGTCTCGCTGTGGTCCGTTGTGGTCTCGCTGTAGCCTACTTTGGTCTCGCCGTGGTCCGTAGTGGTTCCCTCACGACCCGTTGCCTCCATTGTGGTATCTTCATGATCTGCTATGGTCTTGCTTTGGTCTGTTGTGGTCTCCTCGTGGTCTGTTTTGGTCGTCTCGTGGTCTGATTGGTGCCAATTAAATTGACTAGGTTGGTCTCCGGCAAAAACAGACTGGTGAGTAGTGGCACTGGCTTCAGTTGGCATGACATCATCGTTATCGCCTTCAATGGGGGAATCCCCATCGTTTGGTGATGTAATCATGACGTCATCAGTAGAAGGAGTACTAACAGTAGCATCTGTGGAGTAGGAATTGAGTGTGGGAGGGCAGAATATTGCGTTTTTAAAAAAAATTTCTGACATTATATGAGAGAGGGGAGTAAGCTACGTAGTTAGCCTAGCTCCCACCTACATCTACACACATTGCTCGTAGTTAGCCTAGCTCCCAGACCTCTCTATATACACATTGCTCGTAGTTAGCCTAGCTCCCAGACCTCTCTATATACACACATTGTGTATGGTCCTTCACAGCAAGTGTAATGCGACTGTGCGAACAATGTGTGCATATGTCAAATGCTATACCGCATCATGTATATAACTTTGGGAAAAATATGTCGTGGATCTTTTAAAAAGCAACTTTGCAAAATCACTGATCCACCTGGCCCACCAGCACTAGCACAAAACTACTTAATGCATCACAGTGTGCCGCTAATAGCCTTACTTGGCAACCGGGGCTGCATCTGTACATCCCCAGAGATTTTACAAAGTGGTGTTTCTAATTGCATGTTGTGTGTTTGGAATGCTGTAGAACAAGTTTTCCTACCTACCTACTACTTTCTCTTCGATTCACTACATAAACCACAAGTAAACGTGCATACTCACTTTCTCTATGAAGGGTATAATAGACTAGGTATATAATATACAATATACAAAGAATGCAAGGCAGAAGGTACAGTATATACATGTGTGTATAAGCAGTGTATAAACCTGGATGTGGATACTCACAGGTAGTACGTGTAAATTGCTCCAATTTCTAATGATACAGTCCTGATTTCAGGGATCAATAATCAAAGTCTGTTGTGTACGCGAGTGTGTACACGTGTGTGGGTGGGGGAGGATGGGGGTTGGAGGGTGACTTCTGGTTTTCTTTCTTTTTTTTCTATTCTCTGTGGCTAGTATGCTATAAATATACTTTTCACGTACACACGTGTGTAAGTGGGGGAGGGGGAGTATGGGGTTGTTCAAAACAGCTATACTACAAAATCAAACTTCACAGACCTCAGTACGGTTCTTCCTGCCAAATTCCCCAATTATCTACTTATCTACAGAATCACCACGAACCCTTCTCAGAACCCTTTCCTCTCTTCCTCCTCTCCTGTGGATCTCACTTCTTCCTTTTCCTCCCTTTTTTATTCTCTCTCTGTGCCTTCCTTCCTCTCCTCTTCACTGTCACTCTCTCTCTTCCTTCCTCTCTTCTCTCTCCCTCTCTCCTCTCTCTTCCACCCTTCCTTGCTCTATCTTCTACACTTTCTTTCTCCCTTCCCCTCTTCCCCTCACTTACCATTCTCGAACTCCGACTTTATATTGTGCTCTAGAGGGTGTATGATTTTATAGTAGCCAGTCTGCCCCATTCGTGCCGCGTCGTGTTCATCCAATTCCTCCGGCTTGCACAGTTCGGGAGATTCAGGAGGACAAGACACGGCCATACATTTGCCACCATACACCCAGACAAAGGTACAATCCCTCGGTCCCAGAGCACAGCACTTTCTCATGCACCCGGCTGCAGTGTTGCTCTCCAAACGAGTGATTGTGATTTCTCCCGGTCGTCCGCGTGGGACGGAGTTTTTGTACTTTTCGCTGATACTGCATTCGGATTCCGGCGTCCCCCCGTCTGGTGGGCTTTGGACTCGGGACTGCCAGGTGGGCATGGTGGGGGCAAACCCCTGTTCGTTACGGTGGGGGTTGCTGGGTAGCGAATCACCATAGAGATTTTGTGCCGCATAATCTTGCTCCTGTGGGCTGGAGAATGGATCATCACTTTCTGCCTCCGAATCTTCCTCACGGTAACCGTCGTCATAGTACGGGTTTACGTTGTTTGTGTTTACACCATCGTGTTGTTGTTGTTGTTGATGATATCTGAATTGGTTAGAAGAAGCTGGAAAGTTAGTACGGTGACGGGGACTCGGCAGTGTAGGGGGATATGGTCCGCCTCTTTGGCCCGGGTGAGCAAAACCTGAAGCTGAAAGACGCATATATCTGTCCCAGAGCCAAACAACAGTGTAACCAGTTTTGCTGCTCACCGACGTGAAAGAGGGAGAGACAAAGAACCAGAAGGTAGAGTAGAACGGCGCGAGCAGCTCTTGGTCTGTCCGCCATTAGCCAAAGTCCGTCCGTTCCTGCGTGAGCCCTTGCGGGATTTGTGGCTTACCTTCTAACACCACACATGCAAATGATCTACAGCAAGATTGCGGAAAACTCGAGGAAGTGTGGAATGACGTAATTACCCAAATAACGATATTCATAGCTCGGAGAGAGCTGGAGCTGGTTGGATCATGGCTGCAAATGCGGGGGAGAAAGCGAGGCTGTGGCCTGTGGAAAAATACGCTCGCTTCGTCTCCAACCAGCAGACTAGCGGTGGTACAGGCTTAACAGCAAAAAAGAGCGACGGGATTTGGCAGGTGACTTGCTTAGTTACTGCCCACGCAACTACACTCTCCCTCCTTCCAGCACTATTCCTCTAATGAAGGAAGCATCCAGCTAGCTCTGGTGGAGTCCAATCATCTCATGATCTCCAGCGGAACAATGATATTTGTGAGTCTCCTACGCTCCCCCTTCCGTTGAACTATCGTCAAAAAAAGTTCCTCCAAAAATTTGCGTGCAGGAGAGTTTTTCTTTGTGGGATGCAAAAAAGTGGCTCAAGATTATCACTCGTGGAGACAGTGCCATGTTTATCTACAAGGTCAAGGTTCGTTGCTATGACAATCACACACCTAAACTACACAGGCTGCTAACACAATAGTCGTCAATTGAATGTGCAAATAGCTGTCCCCACAACAATTTCACAGACGGACAGTCGGCGTTTCAGAGTGAAGTTTGCACCCATTCCGCCGTCGACTGCGGCATTTGAAACTTGCCGACAGTTTTCCGCGGTCATGGCACCTGTCGTCCTATCAATCAGGGAGATGGAAGCTGGTGGTTTTGCCGCACGTGATATGGGCACAAGTGCACACGATAAGGTTGGAAGCACACCGTGTGCTCTCGAGGGAGATTCGCAGTTTTTGGGCTACGGAGAAGATTTCGAGTCGACACAAGTAATTTCAGAGACTCAGAGTTCAGAGATGCCAAATATGACAGCTGGAACTGGTCCCATTCTAATACCAGATGAGTCGAGTCTCATTCCCGTTCCAGACATCGGAAAGGTATTATACTACAGTTCTTTTTATTGGGTGGGGAAGGAGCAAACCTTTTCGTATAATCTCATCTTTAGCGTACGCATCCACCCGAGGATAGGCACAAGTTGTTTTTTTTGTCGATAATAAAAAATTTGACCCTCCCAAAGTAAAATGTATAATATTATTAATCATTTCTGATATCTACACAGGTGGTGCAGACTCAGGGAAAATCTCTAGGAAGGGCGTATGCTGACACAAATCTTCCGACGGAGCAGCTGGGACAGTTCATTCGACTCTGCCTGACCGACGCCAACTTTCCCGCCTTTGTGGAGTCCGTGGAGAGGGAGCTCAACTGCATGACTAACACTTGAGAGAGACCCTATCATCGGCTGATGATATCTATGGAAAGCCACCACAAAAACTATATCTGTAGTTTGCGCATGCGCGCTGCAGAGTAACCGCAAAATTGGCGGGCTCACCTCGCGCTTCACTTTCAAAAGCCAAGAAGCGAACGAAGGTTAAAAAAACATGGCAGACTTCGACGGGGAAGAAGACATGGCGCTGAGAGTGTTCGGGACGCCTGAGCGTGACCTGAGACGACGCTTCCTACACCCACTCGGCTACCCAGTCTCCCCGGGCGAGGAGGGACAAGAAGAAGAGGTAGACAGTAACCAACAGCAGCCCGTCGAGCAACCCAGCGACGTTCCAGTTCAGGTACGTTCTATACAGAGCACGAAAACAGGTGCAGCACATAAAACGCTGTTTTCCTCTCCCCGCGCCTGTAAAACTGGACAAAAAGGAGGAAGACTTGCCGCCGAGTCCGGAGCCCTTGCTCTACACACCCACCGCCGTGGACCACGTTGTAGCGCTGCTCTTTCACCTCTGCGCCGCCTTTTTCTTCGTCTACATGAAGCTGGAGACGGACAGCGTGTTGGCCAGGATAAAGCAGGAGAAGGGGCTGGTTATGCCAGGTTCTGACAATTACGGAGGAAGATTGAAGTTTTTAACTTTTCTCAACTTTGTGAGCCCTGAATTTTTGTGTTTTCCTCCACCTCACACCTTCCCTCTTTCCCTCTCAGCATGTCCAGATCATGTACTTTGTTCTGGCGTTGCTGTGCGACTTGCTGCCGGTCGGACAGAAGGAGCTGCAAAGGTTTCGCGACTTTATCTTCACCACTATCGCCTTACCCTGTGCTCTGGTAAATGTATACAGTGTGGAACCCCTCTAATCCAGACACTAACGAGAATGAAGGACGTGTCCATATAAGTGAGGTGTCCTTATGTACAGTAGGGGTAAAATTGCATGCACGAAATTTATCTGGGGGAAAGAAAAAGGTGTCCTTATTAGAGACATGACTCCTCATTTCATGGGTGTCCTTTAGACTGTAGTCTCTCTCTCTTCTTCGCTTATTCTACCCCTCTCCTTCTCTCTTTTTTCAAGGTGGTGACATCAATGTTCTGGATGTTTAGCCTGACACCGTTCCTTCGTGACTATGCGGTGGGAGCAGACGACAGTCCAGTTGCCCTGATGCTGAATGCCTTGCCACAACATGTCATACACACCTCAGTAAGCCAACGTATCAGGTGTTACTAGAGAGCAAATTTGTAGGGACAAACTTGCATCATGTCCTGCTGGGACAGATATATATCATAACCTGTTTCAAGAAATGGCAATAAATCCTATATTAGTGTTTCTAGCACACTTGTATAGGGGGCTTTTTAACCCTCGGCGCGCATGCGAAGGTCAGAAAATAAAGGCGGTTTTGTCTGAAAATGCTCCGTTGCAAAGCTAGAGCACGAAAAAGCCAATATGCAAATACGCACCGGCTTACCGCGATCTGATCGATCCGTGTGCTCTGCGACATCGGAGGCACCAGAAAATGCAACGCAGGGCGTGTATCGCCTCTCGCATGCTGTTTAGTAATGTAGTTAGCCCGCGTCAGACTCTGCGCGAGATGGCTAGAGACGTCAGGAGTAACAGCCAGAACTAAACCCAGCCCATCAATTAGTGATACAGCGCATGCGTTTACTCATGCGTGTGCGTCACAATGCGCCGAGGGTTTGCACTTCAGTGCTTTTCATTCTAAAGGGAGTTAGTGAGTTAGACTTTCCCCCTCCCCAATTGAATTATGGCTCAATTGATATTTACATAGGTGACTGACAGAGTGGTCTCTAGTGTCCCCCTATATTATACATCCCCAGCAAAAATTTAACACTGTCTCTCATTCATTGTTACACAGCATACAGCCGTGGGATTTCTGGTAATAATCGAGGCACTACTTGTCTACCATCGCTACTCCTCTAACTCTGACGCCATCAAAACCATTTTCATCTGGAATGGCTGCTACGCCCTATGGTATGTGATGCAGTGGTCTTATAATATATAGGCCTCCATTGAAACGAGGACACCTCTAAAGACACACCTTTACTGAAATGAGATACCTCTCCTTTCCCCAAGAATGGTTCTTTCATGCAGACACCTAACTTCTTACCCTATGGTGTCTATATATTGGCTTATTCATCACCGTGTTGCAAATACTACCCCCATTTCCTGAAGGATCTACTGGTGTTACTATTATGCTGGAGCACTGCCATACATTCTCCTCCATAACCTCGGACCCTATCTGATGCATCTCGTTTTGCTGCTGTTCCTTGTTGTTAGCATCGCGTCTTACTTCTTTGGAAAGAAAATTACCTCATGGAGCTGGGCTGGTGAGCTCACACACACCATACAAAATATGACATGAAGTAGGCTGAATCCTTGTGTATTACTGTATGCTGGAAAGCTTTTAGGATTTGGTGGCAGAGAATGATATTGCACCGACTTCTTGTTCTGTCATAATTATTGCAAAAAGCTCAGAGACAACTTTTGTGTTTGGCTTTGAGATCGTGAAATCCACAAACGGTTTTGATGAACCTTTTTACACACAATATTTACTCTATGTGCACAGGAGAGGTCAACTGAAGGACTGATCAAAGCGAACTTCTACCCATTAGCTAAACTACCTTACTTTTCACGTTTTTTAGAGGATTGTTTGCTTATATAGAAGTGTATTTTTCGTAGGCTGCAATGTTTTTTCCCTTTTGTATCTCAGAGCGGTATTTTTGCATTGTTAAAAAGCATCTTTTGAACACACGTACAAACAACGAACGGAATACTGATGAAAGGAAATGACATAATGTGATAAGGAAATCTAGGATCTTTCACGAGCGATGTCGCGAAGTGCGCGATTCGACTACCTGGAGTGAGAGAACGGGCCCCGATACTTGCCGTTTGCACAGGTGTGACAACCGCTTGTGCATGGAGCTATAGCTATTCAAGTGTCTTCTAGTCCCTCTTTCTCTCCGCACCAGTCCAGGGCTACTTGCTGCCAAAGAAATCTGCTCTTTCTTTGCTAGCAAACTCGGCGATTCTTGATGTGATAGGCGTGCCTCTTTTTTCACAATTTCCCCGGCTTCCGAAATTGGGAGAAGTTTATCTGTTCTTGCTTGTGATGAGGACGTCAATGCTGCGCTCGTTACATCTTCCGCGGGCAAAGGAACCAATTTACATCTAAACGGACAGGGGGTGATTTTTAGGGGGGCAAACACGGGTCCCCCGAATTTTCCACAGTACTCTAGCAGTGATTCTCCGTTCTGTGTAGGGCTTTTAGGGCAGCTTGTCAAGATGGGGCTAGTAACCCTCTGTTCGATGTACGACCTTGAGGTTTTCCCGCCGTCCGTTTCTTCTGTCGTACGTAACGGGAGAGAGGGAGAGGAGGAGGAAGAGGAAGAAAAGGGTGGACTGCTGACGTGTCGGTGTTGCTGGTTCTGCGGTGGAGACAGAGTGGAAAGAACGTAGGCCTTGAACTCCACCTGGTAGTGGCCTTTGTAGAAGAAGACAAACGATAGCTGGTGGTTGTAGGTTTGACCTGGATCCAACTGTGAAGAAAGACCGGGAAGTGGGTATATAGGGGATATGTATATACACAGGATTGGTATGTTGGAATGTCAATACCTGCGGAGTCCTCTGTAGAAGGTTCCCGCTATTTATCATCCTCCCAGTCAACTCGTGGCTGATCCGATGACCCAGGAATTCACACGCGTCCACCAACAACCAAGACGGAGATATAATACAATCTGTATAATAATAATAATAATGGTATAATCACCATCATAGACTTGGGATTGGGAAGTGGACTAACTGGTATTGTTGGTGAGAGTTAGTTTCACGTTGACTGGAGTCCCAACACTGCACTCCTGAGTAATATCTCTCCCAGTAGCTAATTCCTGGCCGTTTACCTCCAGATCTGCACGTAATATACACACAGAAATGTGAAAACGGTTTTCTTTACGGTTTACTACCAAAAATCTGCATATGATAGACACAGAACGGTTCTTTCATCACATATGTATGTAAACAGGGTTAAAAAGATTCTTTCCTCATATACGTATGTAAATCAGGGTTTGCTAATAAACATGCAAAGTCATGAAAAAATGAACAAAACATTTTGAACACAAAGACAGATTTTTATAAACAGTATGCGGTTAGACTAGACAATAGAAAATAATGCATACCGAACTGTACCGCTTGCACATGATGTAATCAACCAGTCTGTTTCTATAAATAGCTCACCAATGAGGAGGGGTATGGGCTGAATGAGGTTGAGTAGAGAAGAGGGAAGTCTGATGCTCTCGAGACTGCTGACTCCACTTCTCCCTCCGTCTCCCTCCTGCTCCCACTGCACTGTCACCAGTCTTGCCAGGTGGTCACTGTATAACTGGGCTACCTTTGACTATACCGAGGGAGAAGGAGAACGAGAGGAGAGGGGGAAAGATGAGAATGAAGAGGAGGAGGGGAAGAAAAGAGAAAGGGAGAAGGAAGAGAGGAAAGGTAAAAAAGGTAAGGAGAAAGTGGAAGAAAAAAGGAAAGGAGAGGAAAAAGAAAAAAAAACAAGAAGAGAGGATGGTATTGAAACGTATAGTAGATGATCAAATTACCATGATCAAATAGATCTCACCTCCTTTGCCGAGTTTTCCAAGTCTAGTGGGAGGCTGAATCGTCGTAGAGACAAGTAAACCTTGTGTTTTTGCTTCGGCAGTAGTCTGAGGTTAATCTGCTCTGGGCTCCCTTCTTCCCCTGCAAATACAGGTCATGTGACTATCACATGGTGTCAGGTGATACACTACACAAGTCATGTGACTGACTGTCAAATAGTATAGGTGATGCAGTGCACAAGTCATACGACTATCACATGATCCAATACACAAGTCATGTGACTAATCACATAATGTAAGGTGGTGCACATTCTTACCACTATTGTGACTACATGTGACGTACAGAACACGAGTAGACTTGTTGTGAACGTAAAACGAGAGGCAAAACATGTCCATTTTTCTGTGGAAAAAAATTATTCTTCAATCGCAACTCTTTCTCTATCATTTTCAGTTTCGGCTTACCCAGGATAAGCAGAAATGCCAAAGTCGTCAAAATACAGGCTGGGGTGAACCCTGACCTTCACGGAGGACTCCATCTGTCTGTGGTACCCCGCTTTACACCCGTCTCCCCCGGAGTAATTCAGAGTAAACCGTGCGGTCACTGCAACCTCGGTCGGGAGGATGGCCAGAGTGTTGTGACGTAGTTGTGAAGGGAGAGATATGTTGTTTTTGTTTATCCCTGAGCCCCCCTTGCGGACTACGGGGGGTCGGTGGCCGGGCGATTTTGGCGACCCCCGGGAAGGTCGCGGCAGACTCGAGTGTTCGTACACAAACGCGGCACTGTCGCAACTGACGCCAGAAGGCGAAAGTTCACCGTCGCCTGCTAAACTACTCGTTCGACTGGCGAGACTCGGAGATTTCAGTAGCGGCGTTGATCCGCCGGAACTGACGGGAGAGCGAGTCAAAACCCCACTTCCTTCCCTCTTGCGATCGCCGGGATCCGATCGAATCGACGCTCGCTTCAAGTCGTCATACTGGTTGAAGTCCCACTCGTCGTACTTTGCCAGCTTCCGGTTGTGGGTGGAGCGCGTGCTCCCCGTACGAGCCACGCCCCTGTCACGCCCCTTCTTCCGCGTGAGGGGACTGATCCCGGGAACGGAGAGAGAATCAGAAGACGAAGGGTAGGAGATATCGGACGACGTTCGCACGGGGACGTCGATATTGAGCGAGTCGACCAGTGTAGGCGACGGAAGAGACGAGTCCAATCCGTGTACATGCCTCGCCGGTTGCTCTAGCAACGATCGCTTAGCAACAGAAGCAGAAGATCCGCTAGCCTTCTTTATCGCTGTTGACCGAAACGGACTGGCCACTCTAGACTCGGGGAGTTTCTTTGCCAAGAAAATACCTCCGTCTTCGACGATGTTGGTCTGTGTCTGATCAATACACGGCTGCTGTTTAGAGAGCGTCGACACGAAATCATTTTTAACGCGGTAGTACGTCGGAAATTTTGCTTTGACGTTGACGACAAACGTTCGACATTCTTTTCGACCGAAGGGGACGAGGCTGTTGACGACTTCCGGTGGTGGGCATGTAATGAGGCACAATTCCTCCGGTTTGTGATTAGCTGTAGGTACATAATGTACGAGGGAAGAAGGGGAGGGAAGAAGGGGAGGGAAGGGAAACAGCAAAAAACTCTCTCAACCCCTGAAAAAAGGACACTTCACTAATACTTTTGTCCCATTGGTGTCCAGAGAGCAAGTTTTTGTAATCATTCATCATTTTACATGCAAAGAAACTGTAGTAAAATCCGGGAATATTTCACGCGGCACACGTGCACAAAGAGAGAGGGAGAAGAGCGACATTGTATGACGTACGGTTGCCAGTGGAGGTTTCAACACCGAGAGAGAGAGAGGAGAGAGAGAGAGGAGAGAGAGAGGAGAGCGACATTGTATGACGTATGGTTGCCAGTGGAGGTTTCAACACCGAGAGAGAGAGAGAGAGAGAGAGAGAGAGGAGACGAGAGCGACATTGTATGACGTATGGTTGCCAGTGGAGGTGGTTTCAACCCGGCGAGACGAGAGACGAGAGCGGCGAGAGAGAGAGACTGAGAGGACCGTAGAGAGCAGACGACGGAGGTGTGAGAGATGAGAAGAGGCGAGAACTGAAAAGGGCATACGGAGAAACAGTGTTTCTGTGGTGATACGTACCGGTGGCAGTGACGAATTCACTCACAGAGAGAGCGAGAGCTGAGACACGAGGAGAGCGTAGCTAGAGAAGAGAGGAGGCCCGGACGAGAGAGAGACGAGAGAAGACATTGTATGCCGAGTAGCGGTGCCAGATGAGAGGTTTCAGAGACGAGGGAGAGAGAGAGAGAGAGAGAGGAGCATGGAGAGAGATCGATGAGGGAGAGAGCGCGAGAGGAGAGAGAGAGCATGCGAGAGAGAGAGAGATGAGAGAGAGGTAGAGAGAGAGAGGAGAGAAGACGAGGAGAAACATTGTGTGATGACGTATTTACGGTTGCAGCAGAGGAGGTTTCCAACACGAGAAGAGCGAGAGAGACAAACCGAGAGAGAGAGATCTCTCCGAACACAAAGTCGACCCTGTTCCCCTCCGTGAGAGATCGAGAGAGGAGAGAAACATTGTATGACGTACGCAGTGGAGAGGTTCAAACACAGAGAGAGAGAGAGAGAGAGGAGAGAGAGAGAGAGAGAGCAGAGAGAGAGAGAGGAGGAGAGCGAGGAGGAGCGCACATTGTATGACGTATGGTATGCCAGTGGAGTTTCAACACAGAGAGAGAGAGGAGAGAGCAGAGAGAGAGCGGATGAGAGAGAAACATTGTATGACGTACGGTTGCCAGTGGAGGTTTCAACACAGAGAGAGAGAGAGAGAGAGAGAGAGAGAGAGGAGAGAAACATTGTATGACGTACGGTTGCCAGTGGAGGTTTCAACACCGAGAGAGAGAGAGAGACGAGAGAGAGAGGAGAGCGACATTGTATGACGTATGGTTGCCAGTGGAGGTTTCAACACAGAGCGAACGAGAGAGAGAGAGAGAGAGAGAGAGAGGCGAGAGAGCGAGAGCGGCGAGCCGACATTGTATGACGTATGGTGCAGTGGAGGTTTCAACACAGAGAGAGAGAGAGAGAGAGAGAGAGAGAGGAGAGAAACATTGTATGACGTACGGTTGCCAGGGGAGGTTTCAACACCGAGAGAGAGAGACTCAACTGGGGTGTCCTTCTGACACATCATCCGAAACTCCACCTCACAGCTGCAGAAATAACACCACACGTAATGTATGTTATAATGCAATGAACCCCTTCTAATGTAATGTACTGTACACTCTGATTTAACTTGCTTCTATCCTGTCCTAATTAAAGGACACGGTTCAGAAAGGGTTAAATGTAATGAAGACCACGCCCACCATTCTCCGTCGGTCATATCAATCTCGATGCGGGGACCGACGCTACTTCTCTGGGCATCTCCTCTCCTCATTGGGGACGTCCCGCTTTCAATGCTGCCCGATCCGCTACTGTCCCGATTCCGTTCCGCGGTATGGAACTGGGGCAGGACGTGGACTCGGAGCTGGGGGAGAGACGGGACGACTCGAATGAGGGGATTCCCCGCCACTCTCACGCTGCACTTGCTGCGAATGCCAAACACCGTGTGTTCGTAGCCTGGTTAGAGAAGAGAGAGAGAGCAACAAAAGATCCACTACGGATATACATAATTATACAAAAAGCAGAATAGTGCTAGACGAAACAAGTTACAGTTGAGAGCAAATTTCAGCGCACCAGTAAGCTCTAGTCGACCGGGTTCTTGTGGCAGAGCGGTAAGTGTGAAGTCTTGTTTCTCTCTGGCCGGGAGGGAGAGGGAGGATGGACACGCCGTGATGGGGACCCCCTCCCACAATAGTTTCTGGAAGGTTTGGAGGGAGGGAGAGGTGAGTGAGGGAATGGAGAAACTCAAAATTTAGTCTTAAATGAAGAACCAACCCCTAACTCTATTGTTCTTGGGGACCAAAGGGTGTGCTCTATTTAGAAGAGAGTTTGACTGTTTAACACTACATGTAATGTAAAGGCTGTGTGTGGTGGTACAAAACAAGGTCACATGTGCGAGAGAGAGAGAGAGAGAGGGGCATTCGAAAATGGTCGAGAAGTAAAAATTGGACGTTTGTGAACGTAAACATTTGTTGATTCCAACAGTTTCAGTTTTCCAAATGCTCTTCTTATCCACCACTTAAACACACACACACACACAATGTTTTTACACGTGTACAAAATTGTTTATACACGTGTACCTCTAAAATAAAGACACCCTTATTCAGTATGATACTAGTTTACTTATGAATATGGGACACATCTAGTGTCCCCAAAGTGTCCCATATTCTGAATATGGGACACATCTAGTGTCCCAAAAGTGTCCCATATTCACTGTACCATATTCTCGACGCGGAGCTCAAACTCCAGAGGATTAGTGATGTCCATTGAGATCTCTCCGGAATCATTGACGACCCAAAGAAACTCTGGTCTCTGTTCCTTCTTCCAGTGACCTAACTGTGATACTATGAACGGTCCTTTACTGGTGCTCTGGAGGGAGGGAGGGAGAGGGAGGGAGGTAGAGGAGGATGAACGGAGGAAAAAGGAGGGAGGGAAGGAAGGATGAAGTGAGGGAGAGGAAGAGACAGAGGAAGGGAGACAAAAGAGTAGTAAAGAGAATAAGATTGAAAATGGAAGAGCAACAATCAGATGAAAAGAGTGAAAAGGAGGGAAAAAGGGACGAGAGAAGGAAAAAGAGCAGGAAGGTACGTAGGTTGGCCACTGAACCACTCACACTCACTGATCCAGGTGTCTTGTGAGACACACAGAGAAAGAAACACACTCTCACACACACTCACTGATCCAGGTGTCTTGTGGGGCCTCAGATGTTGCGGAAACTGTTTTGGACGAAACGTACAGATCTGTGGAAACTCCGACAGTGGCAGCGGAGAAATGAGATTATCGCTCGACAGATTTCTGGTGAGTCTGCGATGAGACCGAGAGTCTTGTTGTCTCTGGGGGCTGTTGGTGGTGGAGTACTCGCTGTTTTTCTGCTGTTGTGTCCGCGTCACGGAGTCTAAGTATTGCACCACTTTGAGTAGCTCTGTTTCGCTCAGGTAGATGTGCAGGTTTTGAAGCAACATACAACTGAACCTGCACCACGTGGGTGTGTTGTGTGTGTGTGTGTGTGTGTGTGGGGACGACACAAAAGTCTCATGCGGCTTCAATGCATGGGTATAAATGTGGATCGATGCAACAAAGTGAGAAAATAGTGTGTTTACAGAAAAGGCTTACAACAGGGCCCATTGCAATTATGTACGTTTCAGTTTTTGGTAACGTTTGCTAAATATAGCCGCTTGCATCACGTTGACTGGTATATAGGTAAGTGAACTCACTGGATGAGGAGGCTGTTTTGGTCAGTATGCTGAGTGAGATAAACCAACTCCTTCATTAGTCTGGCCTGGAGGAGGGGCCACCCGCAGGGTTCAGAGTTCGTTGCCTCGACGACACTGTTGGCAGGTGCTATCGACAGCTTGTAACCAGGGAGACTTTGCGCTAATAGAGTGTGGGCCTATATACGAAGAAAGGGGTGAGAGAGATAATATCAATTCGCTCCCTGGCTTTGTACATACATGTATCCACATCATGATTACATTAGCAAGACGATGAGTGGTATTCAAACTTTCCATAAAAATTGACCTTTTTAGTGGATTACGAAAAGAAGAGGTTTATATGCAGACAGGGGTACTGTATGTATATCATACTACAGCACTTCATTAATACTTACACAGTTAAAGCATTTGTGAAGTGCTGTAGCCAATTCTAGTGTTGTTGGATAAAAGCACTGGTGATACCCTTGATTTAAACACACAAAGTTCAACAGATGTACGTATGTATGCTCACCTTATCAAAATATTCGACGGACTAAGACATTAACACAGAAGGACGGACAACACAACGGACAGGACACATGATTTGGAACCAAAACGTCGAGACACACACACACACACGGCATAACATGGAACAGAGACATCAATACTTTTTAACAACCGAAAAAACATACGACTTTTGCACATACATAATTACATACACACACACACACACATGAACACCTGGTCGAAAAGGAAAACGTCAAAATTTGAATGTTTTTTTTACTATACTAAATCGACAAGGGGTTAGTTATGTAATCTGTCTTTCACGTGCAAAAATTTTAGTACGTAGCTAATTTTTTGCATTTGACTACTGATGGGACCTATGTATGTATAGTACAGTACCTCGTAGTAATCCTGCAGCCTGACAGCGAGTGAGGTGGCGTGTCTGGCAGCCCAGTAGAGGAGAAGGCTGGACTTACGGTGGTAGCCCATTGATTCAAACACCTTCGCCATTGCCTGGTAGAGGGTGGTCTACAGAGAGAGAGAGAGAGAGAGAGAGAGAGACAAAGAGAGAGAGAGAGGGGGGGGGACAATTTTTTAGCTAGTTAGCTGCACACGAAAGTTTGTGGGCAACTAACATATGAATTGTGCGTATGACGTTGCACATTACCGTCTGTGTGTTATGTATAATGTGTACCTTATCTTTTTCGTCAATGAATCCCGAAGTCCAGAATATCTTCTGCAGTATTTCAGTTGCCGCCTTGTGTCGCTGAGAGAAAGAAGAGAGAGGGGGGAAGAAGAGAGAGGGGGGAGGGAGAGGGGAGAGGTAGAAAGAAGGTGGTCATGTGTACGTGGTGGTGATGAGTGAGATGTGTCCCATGTGCAAATACAGTGTTCTTGGGAGGGAGGTATATAAGGAGTGGGGGTGTTGTATACAGTATATACGTCTTGGGAGACCAGATAGCGAGCAAACTTAAAAAGCAGTTCTATTCTTGGAACTCCTCCATTCGCTCCAGCCTACATGACACATACAATAGAGAAGATATATACGTGACATACGTGTATTATATACCCACTAGCACATTGGAAATAGTGCACGATAAAATGTCTATCACACTTAGGGAACGGGCAGATACATAGCACGAACCTTACGGCCACGTTAGTGAGTGTAGTGAGCACAAGTGATAGTAGTGATTTAGCATTTCTAATGAGTCTGTTACCATGGCAGCACTACAGACCCAGACATGCATCCTGCACACACTACAAGCTGGCTACAAGACTACCAGACAGACTGACAAGCAATCTCAACACATCACATCAACCTTATGCACACTTACATCAAAACCACGATTTCTACATCCATCTAACAAGCAATTTGCAAGACATAAACATGAAACACACTCATAATACACACCACATGTATACACTTACGCCAGACAAAACCACACAATCTGTTGGGTCTGGAGACTACGAGACTTCACAATTTGTGTTACTTGCTACCTTTCTGTAGTGTAGTTCTGCCCGTGTGAATCTGTCAACCACGAGATCTTTCTGCAGCAGTTTTCTCGTTTCTTCGTCGTCTGCCTCGGTCTTGACTCCGCCCTCTTCGGCACCGTCTAGCTCAGCCTCCACCCCATCCTCTGGGAACACGGTCACACATTTGTACATGAAGGTATTAGACCATGTGATGCCAAGAGAAAAAACATGCGGAGCTCTGGACAGCTGTTTCGGGAGCGGAGCATACCGTAACCTCTCTCTCTGACATGCATACAGTGGGAACCTCTCTCTAAGGACACCCCTGAAACGAGGACACCTTTCTTAAGAACAGTCTCATGCACGCAATTTTAACGCCTGAAAATAGCACTCACTAATATTGACACTTGCATTGGTGTCTGTAGTAGAAAGTTCCCTAATACAGGATTACATCATTCAAAATTGCTATTCAAGGGGAAAACCCTGGGATTCCCCCAAAACTGAACCTCTACACCTAAAATTGAATTTCACTAGACTTCACTTCACCAGGTTTGCATTAACTCAGGTCCTAGTTTTAACCCCTCGATTACTACCCCCTTGTATTAACCCCTTGATTACTTCCCCCTTGTATTAACCCATTGATTACCAGTATTAACCCCTTGATTACCTTCAATACTGTCCAGAGAGTCCTCCTGTGCGTCAGGGAGAGGGCTACGAGGTCTGCGACCGTGGAAGGAGGAAGAAGACTTTCCGTTGGCCATTGTTCCTCCTTGTCCCCCCGAACTAGCGGTGGTTGGAGTCAAGTCAGTGGGAGCCCTCTTACGAGACGGGTCTCGTGGCTATGAGAGAGAGGAGAGGGCTCTCACTGTCTGTCTCCCCAAACTTTCGATGACGTATACACATTGTAAAGGAATTGGGAGGAGAGATTTCATTACGGCTGTCACTGTCTCCCCACCCAAACTTTTGATGACATATGCGATATGGGGGGGCATGTGGAATGACGACAATATTGGGGTGCTTACAGAGCTATATACTGCATAGGTATGCACCGAGGTACTCAAATTTCAAACCTACCACACACACACCACACACACTCTCTCTGTACAGAATATTATACACACAAGGCTACATACTACATACACAAACGTTGGTAAGCGACAGCCAATACAATAAGTCTCCACTTAAAAAATTTCCCCTCTTTTGAAAATTTTTACGCTGCACGTAACACACTCACTTTCAAAATTCTCTGCGAGACTTTCAGGAATCCAAACACGTTTGACGGGATTGAGAGGTCCGCTGTCTTTATCCCCTGTCGGATGTCGTCGTGCTTCTTCTTCATGATGAGAGTGGCCCCGAGACCCTCGTTAGCCGACCCCTCCCACAGGGGGTCGCGAGAGAGGAGGGAGAGGGCGTGGCAGAAGTTGTCACACGCCGGCTGGAGCTGTCCGGTGAGGAGATACAGGTCTGCCATGTGTTTGTGGATCCGACCCATTTTCTGAGTTCTTGATAGTCTTTTAGAGAAGAGAGAGGAGGAGGAGAGGGGGGAAGAGAAATACGGTGCGGATGTATATACCATTTATAAAATTGCGTAAGTAAAGTGTAACCCACACAATATGTTGCTGAAGGGAGTAAAAAATGAATTATGAGATCCAAATACGTTATTATGGCAGGGGGGTGACAATTGATTTGAAATAGCAGTTGAATGATGGTTTCTTAGTGTGACACGCAGTCCATTCCCAAAATTTCCAGAAATAATGTGGGCGGGGGGGAGCTAGTGCACATATGCAGCTAGAGTAGCGCGAGAAAGTGTTGGTAAAGTGATACAATACGTACAAACATCTATCACTAAACAATCCCAAAGTAGTTGATATTCCCGTCGGAATGTGCACACACTAAAACCTTTCCATTGCAGACGACGTACATTATTGCTTACCGCACTGCAAACACAGCCGCGCGCATTCCGAGCATTTCAAAAACGCAAAGAAGCTTTTCAAACGATACTTGCAGTGGTATTGTTACAAGGTGGTGGGTTCAGCTAATGAAATTCAACCACTCACACTAAGGATGGTAGTGCTAGTCTCTGCCTTGCATACAAGCCATAGATCAGTAAGTGAAAGTAGCAAACTTTCTACCTCGCCTTCACCTTCTTCTCCCTCCCTGGCTTCCCTCCCTCCCTTCTTCCTTTTCTTTTCCAGGCTACTTCAACTCTCTCTCTCCCCTCTTCCCCCCGTAGCTGTCTAGGGATTTCACCGCATCAAAACAGTACAGCCACATATTATGTTCCAGACACCAATGGGACAGAAGAAAGTGTCCATATTAGTGAGGTGTCCTTATTTCAGGGGTTGATTTGCACGCAAGTGTTGTTGGAGAAGGAAAAGGTGACCTTAATAGAGAGGTGGAACCGCAAATGGGACGGAATAAAGTGTCCATATTAGTGAGGTGTCCAGTGTTTAAGGGGTTAATTGCACGCAAGAACTGTTCTTAACAAAAGGTGTCCTTATTAGAGAGGTGGTGTCCTCGTTTCACGGGAGAGGAGTTCCACAAAAGGGTGCATACAAAAACACACACAAAGCCAAACTGAAAGCACACACAACCGCCGGAGAGTGAGAAAAAGGCCAGAGAGCTGCGTGCTGCACGCATTTGGGCTGTTTTCATAAGCCATCTGAGGGAAACAGTCCCGTGTGTTTGTAAGACAACAGCGATAGCGCGCCACTCAATAAACAGACACCATTTGAATTCTCACCTGATGTGTAACCCACGCACATGGATTCAAAAAAACGCAAACACCCATGTGTTTTTATGTGTAACTAGTCAATTGAGCACTAAGTACGGTAGTCCATGCCCCTTTTTTAAATTCGCAGGGGTCCATGAATGAATGGAACATGTGATTGACCAATAGACGTATAATGTACACTATGAGCTGTGTTTTCAATAGTGCTAGTGACCCTTTGTACACAACTTGGGACTGTCACAGTGATGTATACAGTGGAACCCCTCTTTAAGGACACCCCTGAAATGAGGACACCTCTCTAATAAGGACGCCTTTTCTTATTGCATGCAATTTAACCCCTTAAACACTGGACACCTCCCAAAATAGCCACATATCATAGCATCCCAAGCAAAGGTGCAAAATGCCAGGTGCACAATTTCATTTATGCCTCCAAGTTGCACAACACCATCAAATAGACAAGTGTTCTGCACAAGTAAGGCTAACAGAGGCGGCTTACTTGGAACGAAAATCAATGTAGTTAGGTTTTGAAGTGTCCTGATTAACAGAGTGCAAAGTCAGCAAGGGCGGGCTGCATTTCAACGCCGGCTATTGGCTATTATGCAAAAGGCCCGCTGAGTTTTGCACTGTTTCATTACACTTTATAATGCCAGCTCATGTGTAGTTAATAGACACCACATTCATTTGCACAAAGACTCCCCTCGCTTCCTTTAAATCTCCCCTCGCACTCCCTCTTATCTCACTTCGTTTCGTCGTCATTCTCCCCTTCTCTCCCGTCGAGCGGCGACATCAAAACGTCCATCTTTCCCCCTGTCTCCAGCCGGTCTCTCAAACCTTTTATACTCCTCAGTACTGTCTCTGCCACGCTTACAACTAGCTCTGCCACTATGTTGTTGAGAGCAGTCGCATTCAGTTGAACCTCTGGTTTCGTGAAGCTACGCGAGTTGTCGAATTCGACGCGGGTGAAGTTGTCCGGTAGAGTGGCGCCCTCAAGGTCTTCCTCTGAGGCGAACACGACGCACTTGGTGGCCGCTAAGGTGCTCTTGAAACGCTTAGACACAGATGTGAAACTATCTGCCGCTGTCTCTAGATCGTCTGCGTCGTGGACCTGGGTAATAGCGAGGAGACCCGCCACTTTCTTGTAGGGTTGGAACTGCTGCCAGCGCTGCCCGTCGCGCGCCCAGCGAGGGAGACGGTTGGCGAGCCGGACAAACACGAACGAGTTGCTGAGACTCCCTCGTAGACGGACGGGCGGGTATTCCTGCAGGGAATCCACTATGGCTCCGTAGAGCGCTCCACTCGTCTCGCCCAGTGCCATCACGTAGACGAAGATACGGGCATGATCCTCTGCATACTGGCTGAAATCTCCCAGCGACATGGCTGCAGCTATACGGACGGCCAGCCGATTCCACCGTCCAACGAGCCAGCCAGCCGTACGTGCGTGTGCGAGGCTAGCTAACCGCCAGCACACACACAGATGGGGAAGAGGAGAGATTCAGGGAGCAGGTCTCTAGTTATTGAGTAGAGTGCGCGTGCGCAGTGGAAGCGATGACGAATATGACGTCATTATACAATTGTTATTGTGAATTACGTCATCAATATCGTCGTGGGCAGAAAGCACATTATACTGTAGCTAGAGTCTCAATTCCTCAATCAAAAGATGACGTTCTGCACAAGGAGAGAGAATATAAAAGCGTATATACATAAACCATGCTTTTAGACAGTAAAATAAACTTGCAATAAAAACACAGATGTGCCAGGTCACGGAAAAAACACACTGACCTCGCCACCTCCAGTGCCCCACCAGCTGGCCCAGGAAGTAGATGCCGAGGGTGGCAAAGAAACAGGCAGCAAAGAAGACGGATATGAGCGGAGGAGGCATCACCTTCAGGAAGGGGTACACCCAGTAATCAGCGACAGACACAATCACAACTATCCTGGGATTTTGAAACGAAAACCACAAACATCTCCAGCTTAAAACAATCAAAAACTAACACAAATTATACCAACATCTGTATATACTTAGTGCTAAACCAGAAAAACCTCTAATCCAAACACAAGAGGTGAGGTGTCCGTAATTAAAATTGGAGGGAGAGGTTTCCTTAATTAGGGGGTTATAGGGGTTCCACTGCGTAAAGTTGAGGCTCACCAGACAATGTAGGCAGTAGAGTAAGAGAAAATCATGGCCACTGCGTTCCGGGTGGTCGGGAAACGATGGAACACTAGCAGAAGCTCGACTAACACGGCCACAACTATCGTAGTGTGCTGAGACACGGACACAAATAGAAAGGGAAATTATAAACACAGTATTGTTAAAGCCAAGTTAATAAGTCCCAAAATGCACACGTGATTCAATCACATGCATATTATATGTAGCCAGGCAGTAACCCTATAAAGGCTGTTGAGTGAAGCTCGCCTTCCAAATCCTTTTCACCAATGAACGTTCTCAATAATGAGTTTTGCGGGAAACTTACCCAAAAGTGGTTGAGTATTGCAGGGTTGTACTCCTCCAGCCGAAAAGGATAAATCATCTCTCGGTCGATGGCATATATCCCCCAGAATCCCACCGCTACAAACTGCAAAAACATTTAACTAAAGTATCACAATTTTGAAGCCGTCTCGGTCCAACCATTGCAAGAGGAAAGATGACTGTTGTAAATACAAAGTCGCAGAACTTTGTCAGCAATTGTCTGATGTAAGAATCTGGCATGATGTCACGGAGAAAAGCCAAAAAGAAAAAGGCAAACTGCAACCACTGTGAATAGTATACACAAGAGATAGTATCATCAATACCCTATGCCTCTCTGCTATTAGATTTTCTTTCCCCCGGTCACACTTTTGCATACAATTTAAATCCTGAAGTAAGGACACCTTTACTAATATGGACCTTTCCTTCTGTCTCATTGGTGTCTGGATGAGAGAGATTCGACTGTATATACTTTATCTTATGTACGTGTTTATATACCAAATTGATGTAGGTAAGGAACTTCCATCTTCCGCCAAACACTCCTATTCCAGGCAGTCCTTTCCCTCCTGTCTTTTTAGCGTTAGTTCCATCGTATACGTGAACATATACGTAGAACCCCAACCCTGCTAGGTGGACCAGTAATGCCACTGCACTTTCCAGGGCGCCCCGTTGCATGATGCGACTTATCCGGTGCTCCTGTGGCTCAACAGGACGTCCCGAATTCCCGCTCTTACTGCCCCAGTTACCGTCATCGTCAACTCCCCAGTAGTCTTTCTAGTGATAAAAATATAGGTGAGGTATCCTTAGAGTTCTGGAGATATACGTTCAGCCCTTACAGCGGGTTCCTTCGGCGGTTCTGCCGGCCTTCTTGAGCCCTTCAGAACGAGCGGGTCGTCCGCGTAGCTTTCTTCATCCTCATCCTCCGCTATTTCGGATATCTCCACCTCTCTCTCGACCGCGGGAACCTCCTCCCCGCCGCGCACCGGGCGCCTCCGCAGTTCCTTTTCTCTGCGACTGGCCATGCTGGGCTTCTTTCCACGAGACGACGAAGAGGTCAAGGTCAATGACGGTAAATAGTGCGCATGCGCAAATCAACGACTGCTCGTGCAAAACGCTCCCAACAACACACCTCCACCCAACTTGCAACTCCCAACTACACTGAAAAGATGTCGTCTTCTGCTCGCCGCAGAAAGAATAAGGAAACTCGCTCCAGTAAATACGACAGAAGAGATGAATCGACGACGCTGCACGCCGATCAAACAACACCGACCCCTGAACGGGAGGTTAGCCATTTTACCCCTCGCTCTCTCTCTCTCTATCTCAATTCCCTCCTTTCTTTTCTGCAGTCGACTGCCTCCTCCTTCAGCCTCGCGTCTTTCTTCTTCCACCTCTTCATGCTGATATTCTACACGCTCGTCCACGTGTGGGGCTCGCTAGCTCTGATGGAGGCCGGCAGAGACAAGAAACTGGGCTACAAGTTTAGCCCTCTCCGGACACTCACGTTTGCAACGATACAGAACCTCGTGAGTTTCAGCTACGAAAACAATCATTCGTACGTTTTGAAAATCATTACGTTTAGCTATCGTGATCTGTACGCAAAACTGAAAATTCATCTAGCTTAGCTAGTTGTAATTTTACTTCAATATTCACCTAAATGCATCTTTGAAGTTGAAAAATGTTAAGCCATTCATACGTTTTGCAGTGCATTAGTTGCATAGCTATAGCACTAGGAGCACACAGGTGAGTGTACACACACCCAGACCAAAAATATTCAAGGCTCACTCGAATGTTATGCAATATTGAATATGATCCTCTCCATCTTACTGTCTCCAGTACATTCAGACAGGCTACTCTGCACTGGCTGTGGTGTGCGATGTGGTGCCAGCATCCAACTTGAGAAAAAACGTGGAAAACCTGCGGAATTTTATCTTCACAATTTTAGCCTTCCCATTTGCAATGGTTAGTATTACTAAGCAGTATTTGGACAGCACAAGATAGTATATACAACTATAGTTTAACATTTTCGCTCCCTCTTGCTCTCCCTCTCTCTTTAATGACTCTAGTTTAGTGTTGGATGATGATTTGGCTCCTGCTATAATTGTATACTGCAGATAGTGACATTTGGGTACTGGGGGATTCTGACAATGAACACTGGCTATCTCTATGACAATAAGGCACTAGCTGTGATGGCATATGTCCCTCCAATGCTCAACCACTGTTGGGTAAGTTCTGAATAAGGGACACCTGGGACTTGTCCTTTTTAGAGGTAAGATACTACATCTATATTGTATTATGAGACAATGTGTCCTTTGTAGAGAGATGTCCTTCTTCGGAAGGTCCTTCTTGTGCTAGAGATTAACTTGTGACTCTCTCCCTTCTCTCCACGAACGAAGCACACTGTAGTGGGTGTTGCTGTGATTGTTGAAGTGCTGTTTGTCGTCCACCGTCACTCGTCCCATCGTACCGTGCTCTTCACTTCGTTTCTGTTTAACTTTGCATATGCTGCTGAGTAAGTGTCAAACCCCTTAGTATATGGTGGGGCCATCATCCATGGCACCTATTATAATAAGATGACAGACCATATGTACATAGCACCATAAAGCAAAGGATGTGGAGCTTTATTGTATGGGGTATGAGAATAATTATATAGAACATGGGCTCATCTTACCACCTTTTTTCATGCCACCGTTTATATACACCGAAAATCTTACTCGTAGCTAGAATGTTTTTGCACAAAGAAACTGTACTACTACTCTTGCAGGGTATTTGTGATGTACTACATGGCTGACATGGTACCGTATCCCTTCATGAGGAAGCTTGGTACCGTCGGCCTTGCTGCCTTCTTTGCCGCGGCTCTGCCTGCCTATCTTTGTTTCTACTACCTGGGCCGAGGTGTCAGCTACCTCCGCTGGGGGGACAAATGTATAAAGACAGTCTAGAGATTTTTAGAAGACTTTTAGCGGCAACCACTATTGTTGAAGTTGATGCAGGTGATTTATGAGTTATGACCAAACCACTTTCTGATTGGGGTTGAAAACTGCGCATGCGTAAGAGTTAGCGCATGCGTTTGTTTAGTTCGTAGTTCCAGAGCCAGATGATACAGATGTCGGCATCTTCCGGCCGACACACCTCGACCATAGGCAAGTATTGTTCGAGCCTCACAGACCCGCTGCATCTCTTACTCACCGATGCGCGCGTCTCTCTGCACAGGCAAGGCGACGGCGGCCCGCGGGCGGCTTACCAAGTCGGAGTTCGTGAGCATCGGCTCGCCCGAGGAGACGGTGTTGGAGACGTACTTCGTCATTCTATCCAAGATGAACTTCGAGAAAGCCCGGGAGCAATGCGTAGGCACCTTTTTCGTGTCCTAAACCACCGGGGGAGGTGTCCGTATTTCCCTAGAGGAAGCACTGCTTTTGTAAACCCATGCAACTTGAAGAGTGGAAACCCCCCTCTCCTCTCTATTATAGGGGTGTGTGAGCCTCAAGTAAGATTTTAACCCTCTCCTCTCTCTGTATATTATATATGAGTGTGAGCCAAAGTACCCTCTTCTCTCTCTGTATAGGAGTGTGAGCCTTAAAGTAAAATTTTAACCCTCTTCTCTCTGCATAGGAGCGTGAGACGGGCCGTAAAGAGTGAGTCAGGGGGTGGGGCAAACTGGTGTGAGCTGATATCGGCGTTGAGTCGACTGGCGGTAGCAGAGAGCGGCTATTTCAGCCTATCGTACATGGAGAAATCGTGGAGCGACTCTTGGAGAAGAAAGAGAGAGGTTGGCCTCAGTTCTCGTGCTTTATCTCTATCTCTCTTTTTATGAGCACCTAGCAATTTCAAGTCTAGGACTTTGACAATTGTCCTTTATTCAAACAATACTGTTCCTTACGGAGAGGTTTTCTTAACTGTGCAAACGCACTAGTCAACTCGATACTTGAGAGAGAAATTTTTGCAAACAGTAATTTGGGAAAGCAAACTCTTAAACTTAAATGGATGAAGATCCTCTCTACCTCCCTCCCCTCCCTCCCTCCCTCCCTCCCTCCCAGCCTCCAAAGGCAGCATATGAAGCAATTCTCCAGGATCTAACCAGAGTGTACGAAGTCTACATCTCCCTGAAAGGTGGTACCGACATCAGCTGGGAGAGGAAAATGGCCGACCTCGTCCTCAGTACACGAGACTACCTGCAGGCACGGAAAGACATGATGGATTTGTATCATTCCCGAAAACCACAACTGTTCCCGTGTACCTGTCTCAATTGCATAAAAGCCAAAAAAACAGCACATTTTGGAAGAAATAACGCTTCTAGAATGCATTAATGTGACAGCTTCGTACAAATCTCCAATAGGTAGGCTCACTTTGCTCACTAACAAAGAGCACCTTTGGAATTCTGCCATCCGCTTTGGTTAGCTTTTTGGGGTATACACTTTTTCCCTTAACTTTCAGTTTCAGTTATCTCCGGTTTGACCAAGTTGGAGAAGGGTTTCATCTCGACTTCAAGGGACTCGGGAGATTTCTGAAAGAGATTTATGACCGCTACAAAGACAGCTGCCAGCACACTTTTCTTCGCCCGATCAAGACTGTTCTATTGTGAGTCAATGGAGGGAGGGAAATTTTTGGGATTCTCGAATTTGTGAGGCATTTTTGTGGGGATGTTTTTTGAGGAATACATGTCCCACCATACAAATTGGTCTCGGTGCTCAAAAATTTCAGAGAAAAATTTGTGAATGCGAAATTTGCAACAAAGATTTTCTCTCTCAGCCTTATGTTTTCCCCATGATAGTCGAGAGGTGACGACACTGCAGGATCTAATTAAAGCCCAGCAGCACATGGCAGAGTGGCAGTTTCTGCCGACCATTGTGTCTCTCCAGTCGGCTCACAGCAAACTGGTCAACTGGAACTTCATCGTCCCCCTCGGAAACCATGTGGGTCTCGCTTCATTCTCTCTTTTAGGACACCGTCAGAAGCATAGGTGTCCTACACGTACCCTCTCCTTGTGACCAGAGGTGTCCTGATATGTAACTAAAGGTGTCCTGAACCTAGTTATTGCCCTCCAGGGAGACAGAGTGTCACGGGCATTGCACCAGTCCAGACAGACATCTCCCCCTCCTCCCTCCTCTCTCTCCCCGGCTCTACAAGTGGATCTGCTCCTTCTACACTTACCTCATGGCAAAGGTGATTGATTGAGCTAATCCAGACACCAATGGGACAGAAGAAAGTGTCCGTATTAGTGATGTGTCCTTATTTCAGGGTTAAGAACTGTTCTTGGCAAACGTTCTACTACACTTTTGCGGTGTAGTGGAACTTCTTAACTTAGACTAAAGGATGCCTCTGTATAAAGACAATTTTTCATCGTCCTATAATATACCATATCTTTCATCCGATACTCCACTGTATATACTCCGTTCATTGAAAATTGATGAGTTCACATTTATTGCTCTCTCGTCAGTTCACACTCTATTTCCACGGGACATTGAGCGAACACTCCATTGTGTACAACATGAAACACTTGTCGGCCAAGATTGACCGCGACTACATCGGTAGCATGCTGGCCCTCTTCCGCCACATCCCCTCGGTCGCAATCTCTCTCGTATTCGATTCCAACGGTCTCCCGGAGTTCAGAGGACCCAAGTATTCATTCCCCGGTTCCCCCGCCCCGGTTCTGACTGGACTCAACTCCTATCCCTTCATGATTACCATTCCTCAGGTTACTATATATTATCATACAGTCTGTACTGGAAACTGCCTTTAGGTCAACACTGCCGCTTCGTCCTAATGCACTGTATTACGTAATTATAGCAGATGGAGAAAACTCACATATTTTGCCGTTAAAGGGAGTGTGTCCTAAATTTAGCCCTTATATACTGCCATGGTCCCTTTAAAGGGAGTGTGTCAGTACATAATGGCTAAATTTAGAACTGCTACTAAAGATGGAAGGCCCAGTGCAAGAATGCTCTTTTGGTAACCTTTTTCTTGTGGATTAAGTATTTATGGGCGGGAGACACCCAATAGCGAAATATTCTCTTTTCTCGTCAGGGATTTGACGTCTACCACCATCGAGCTAACATTGTCAGCATCATAATGAGCAAGAGCCCCGCACTCTCCACTTCGCCAAATGTTGTAGCCCAACACGATGAGGTAATGGTGATGTAATTGCAATGAGGTAATGATGATGTGATTCGACGAGGCACGTCAGTCCTTTAACATTACCTCAGCAACATTAATATGGCATAAAGTGGAAGCTCTAAAAAGAGGACCATGAGAACTGAGGTGTCCTTTGCACCAGAAATGTTCTTATTAGAGAGGTGTCCTTTGCTTGTATATAGTGTCTTTTATCTAACATTCATGCAATTATATGGACTCATTTTCTGTTCAAATTTTTTTGTTATGTCCCTGCAGAAGTTGTCATGCACGTATTTCCTGGCGCAAATTGAGGCGCGGATCACATTGGTAGCCATCTGTTCATCGCGAGGGAAAGACAGAGATAGCAAAACCATCTCCATCATTAGTGACTTCGCCAACGAACTGAGACCTACATGTATTTCAACTCTACTAAAAAATAGCTAGCAATGAAATGTTTTTACATACGGTCACAAAAATTTTTGAACACGAAGTGCATAAAAGAGGGATGGTTGTGGAAAAAAATGAGTTTATAACTTGATTGAGTCTAGGCCTGTGAACAGAATGTAGATAATAAACATATGCATACAGTATACATGTATTCCTGGAATGTAAGGTCAAATCTGAAATGTTGTGGCTACCACTAAAATGTTTTTGCAATTAAACCCTGTGAGGTAATGAATGCATTATCAAAAATTGGTTTCAATATGGCACTACATTAGCACTGGACACTGGCAAAGTGGCATTTGCAGCCTATGTGTGAGATGACCTATATACTACTCTGAGACAGAATAGGTCTGCTGGGCAGAATCATAGCAAGATTTAAGGTATAATATGCTGATTCTTACCAGTGTAACTCCTAGCCCTGTTTCCTTATGGCGTACTGTGTACTAAACTACCAATAAAATATGTTCCTTCCGTTCTTTCGTGACTTTCATTAGTTAAACCCTTGATTTTATGAAGAAAGAAGCAGATTTAAGCTCTGTGCGTTGTGTTTGTGTGTGTGCGTAGGTGGTTGTTGGTAATTATGACGAAGCTACTCCTGATATCGCTGCTGGTGGTCGTATTATCTCTTCTGTTGCATGGAGCTCCTCCCAACACACCTCCTGACAGTAAGTTCACGTACATACGTAGCCCAACACCACACACACACACACACACGTGCAGGGGGACCTAAAGATCATCAGCTCGGTGTGCAAAATTTGTGGACTTTCTTTACATCACTTTTACTGACGACTTTCCATATTTCTGCTAAAACTCTACAGGTTGTGCTGAAGAGGAAGAGGGGGGAATAAAGCTACTGAAAACAGCAACGTGGGGCGAACACGTGGGTATAGTCGAAGTCTGCTTTGACGGAACATGGAAGAGAGTGTGCGACAATGGGGCGGGGTGGACTCGGAGTGACTCCGTGGTAACGTGCCGACAACTGGGGTACTCCTACCCCGACGGAGCCGAGAGTCTGGGGTCACACAGTCAGGGCTGGGACACGCCCTCCAACTCCACCATTCCGAGTTGCCATGGGAACGAGGCAACACTGAGTAGCTGTCCTACAAGCCCGGCCCCCATCAACTGTGCCTGGCACGGCGCCTTGGTCAACTGTAGCAGATGTAACACAACACCAACACCCTCGAGTAGCGCTCCATCGTCCAATCTCGCACGTGCTTCTTCTATTCTATCTCCCAGCAGTCAACCAGCACGCAATCCTACCCCCACCGCAACTCTTTCAACTTCAGCCTCCCTCCGTCCCCCCAAACAAAACCAGTCTACTGCCAGCTCCAACACCAAGGCCCCCCCCAACAAAACGTACTGCACTAGAGTCAGGCACAGTAAAAGTGACTCAAACTAACCGTCTCACTACATCGGACACGGGGACACCGGAGGCAACAGAAGAATCGATCTACTCGCTCAATTCGGTGACCGTCAGGATAATTGGAGGGGTCACCGTTGGATTAGTGTCACTGGGACTCGTTTCCTGCCTCGTCATCATAGTCTGCATTGCCTGTAGGAAGTCTCGAAGAGGGAGAAAGTTCGAGATGGATCGAAACGTGGCCTACTTGGAGCAGAAAAAGATTGCGAAACAAGTACAACGGAGCGAATCGGGCTCAATTCAGGAACCTATTTACGAACACATTGAATAGTGTAGTATTTGACTTAGTGTCATTTTATACACCTGTACTGTCATTTGTATATATGCCATTTTAGTGACTGATATGAACTAAACTCAGCATGTGTCCAGAGCCTCCATAAGTCCATAAGACTTTATATGGGGGTTATAATACTAGGCACTAATACTTTATACATCAATTTCTGCTATCCCCATGGTGTACAAAGGGTTCATCCCTCTTTCGAAGGTAATTATAATGCACTGATGTATTATAGTGTGGGGCAGTATCAAGTGTCCCTTGTAGAGAGTCCTTTATTTGGAGTGTCCTTTCACTACTATACACTAGAGGAAGGAGGCAGAGCTCACCAAGTTGCTGCGAGTCGAGGTGGGCTCCAGAGAGACAGTAGTGCCTCAAGAGTTGGTCCAGCAACTCCCTCTCGTCCAGGAAATCAATCCTCTCTATCCTATGTTGCACAAAGATGCAGTGTAAAACACACATACGCATGCACACACACACACAACTTCTACTATTTTCTCTGGCGTTGCTAACACTGGGTTCACAATATTATGTCGCAGTGCCCCGTCGCGCCGTGCCGCGTGAACATACGTAGAAATGGATTCTATCCTTGCCACGCGGCAATGCGGCATGGCACAACGGGGCAGTATGACATAATATTATTGTGAACCTAGCCTAAGTGGTCCAGCAGGTGTGGTACATGTACACAGTTACGTACACAACCACAAGGTTTGTAGGAGGCATGTTGTGCAATGAAAACTACAAATGCTACTAATTAGGCATCGTGAATAACTTGAACCTCAGAGCCCACCTGAGAGGACTGGTGAGAGCACAACTAAAAGCATTAACCTCTGAAAGCCTTTAACATATTTCATGACATGATGAAAATTGAAGTCCATTACACTCATCTTTTATCATCGTGAATTCCAACTTATCTCTTCCCCTGTTGGTAAGTCACATGCTGCTAAGTAATGCATCTTCGAAATGCCCTAATAAAGTCACAAGAGACCTTGCCCACTCACTCTGCTATTCTCTCCTTTCCTCATTCTTCCACAACCTATCCTATCGATACTGTCTGTATATGTCGGTGGGAAACTTGTAGGAGGGAGAAAGCTCTCGTTGATTTTGCAGTTTTTGAACCGTCTGTGAACGTTTTCTTGTGGGCGGGGACATTAATCTTGTGTTGCAGTATACAAAAAACCTAAGTGCAGTTCTCTTCACCAAAATTGCCTGCAGAAGTCGCCAATCTTTTCTCCCTACAACAACCACGCAGTATAATATTATAAACCAACACCCACCTTGCCACATCATCTCGAGGCAAACGAGCGTAAACCTCCGCCATGTCCATCGACCACGCCCCTTCCCAACCGTTGTCATGGTAACGCTTCACCTGCGACTCACTGTCGGGACATGTCTCCATGCCTAATAAGGCACACCCTCGTGACTATATAAATACATTCACGACTTAAAATAAAAATGTTATGTGAAATACTGTTGTTTTGTATTACCTTTAGATTCTGCTTCATAATCTCTCCAAATTTATCGAATGGATTAATCTGCAAGAGTTTGTAATAAAAAAACAACCCAATAGTACTAAACCTCTGGAAAATACACTTATATAGCTCTGCCCTATACCAGAAAATTGATATTACCTCTAAATTAGGCACACCTCATAATTATAGAGGACACTTCAATGTCCCAAAGGTGCCCCTTATTCAGAGGTTTCTGTGTAACTAAAGGCAGACAAGTCTCTCTCACTGGATCATAATTGAGGAAGACTGAAGTCTTGAAATGTTCTGCAGTCCATCTGATGACATCGTTGACCTTTGCACCCTCTACATACGCCAGCACACATTCAGCTAGGAAGAGAGTGGGCAGACTGCAGTGTAGGAGAGATAGAGGTCATGTGACTAACACCTGAGGATCACACGAGGTGGAGAAAAAGAATCAGTCGGTATATCAGCTACATCGTACGAATTTCAACACGACAGGTAACTATAATGAGCTCATGAAAAAACACGTTTATACCATACTAGCTAAAAGAATAATATGAGAGGAAAAGAGAGAACAGGCACGCCCAGTGGGTTCAAAACTGTGTCCCTATAAAAAGAATGAATGTATATACATTTTGGTACAGAGCACTCTGAGAATTTCAGTGACATTTTCACTCGAATGCTAACTAACTTTGGGTCAAGTCCAGCATCAATAAGCTGCTTCCCAAGTGACTTGACGTCTCTGAGATCAGCTGGTAGCAGAACATAGTGGTCTGACCGAATCGCTTCCATCGCTGGAGAAATCAGGACACCACAGATCAGGACACAAAAGATCAGGACAAGACAGATCAGGACACAAAAGATCAGCAGATCAGGACACAAAAGATCAGCAAATCAGGACAAGACAGATTAGGACACAAAAGATCAGCAAATCAGGACACCACAGATCAGGACAAGGCTTACTGATGACAGGGTTTGAAAGAGCCTCTAAGAGAACTGGTCTTGTCCTGAAAAAAAAGAGAGCTCTGTGTAAAACTTTTTTGGAAACTGTGCTGCAAATGAGTCATAATTACTGTTCTTGGTAGTTTCTTAGAGAGGGTTTTCCCTTCATAAACTGTATATTATACACATACTTGATGCAGTGGGACTTGCGGGCAGTCACGGTGGGGAAATCCACCTCCACGTGCAGGGCGGGAAGTTTCTTGCGTTTCCATAGCAACCAGTGGAGAGTGTCTGACCCCGCCCCAAAGGTCACCAGCTGGCACTTCTGTTGAGTCCGATCCAGAAACTGGTCGACCAGTATATGGATGCTCTTTACTCTGGCATAGTAACCTAGAGATAAAAGGGGGAGGAGCTAAGTTCGTGGATCACGTGACCCTGGCGCACGCGCACGCGCATTCCGTGAGCAGGGGGCGGGGTCTGGACAGAGTAAAACTAGCCTCTGCTTATCTCTGGAGACTTTTTCTCCGACGAGCGATAGAGGTATCTGATGAACTCGTCTTTCCAGTACCCCCGGTCCACCGCGTACCTGTGTATACACAACGCCCGGGAGCGTAAAAAGAGCGCACAGCTGCTAGCCGCACGCGACGAGCTATACGCACCTCTTGCAGGAAGTTGCGTCATCGTTGGTAGCTTGAACGGCCAGGTCGTCGCTGGGGAGACCTACAGAGGCTGCCATTAGAGGTTCTCTGCATCTGGGTCAAGGTGCACAAATTAGCTCCGCCCACAATAGTATCCGGAGTACGTGGGTGTAGCAGTCACGTGTATAAATTACGGATAGTATCCGGAGTGGGGTGATCGATCGCGAGCGATCGCGAGGAGCGATTGAAGCCAAAGCCACAGGCAAAGAGAAAGAGAGAGGAGAAAGAGAGAAGAAAAAACAACAGCGTATGCTCTCCGAGAAGGTTAAGAAAGACCAGAAACACCAGTGGGAAAGGCAGAACAACTCAGAATGTCTCCCTGCAGCAGAGGACTCGCGGTTTTGGTAAGTTTTTCGTCTCTCGCTCTGGCGTGCCTCGCGCGTAGTACGCTGTTGACGGATTTTGGGCGTGTGTATATAATGTCCTAGTAAACTGAAGTTCTGATGTGAGACTAACCGCTCAATAATGGCACAGATGGGTTCTACATCTATCATAAATGCCTTTCGTAGTATTGAAATTTTCGAGAGAGGCGTATACACAACATGACCTGATATTCCGTGACTATAATAGTCGGTAAGTAATAATGGCGGTAAGTTGATGCTGTTTGCGGAGCTTGCATTCATTGATTGTGTGTTTGTGAGTGCAGTGTAGAGAAGCTGTCAGCCTTTTTGTGTCAACTGTTATATCATTAGCTAAGAGCTCATGTAGGTACAGTTGCAGGTGCTGGCTTTTCCTGAACTGCTGACTGCCATGCATATAAGAATGAGTTTAGTTTTGATTGTAGCCTAGGGTTTGGTGTTGTGTTGTGGCTGTTGCCACGTGAATTGTGGAAGTGATGGAGAAATATCTTAAGATTGCTGAGTGGAATAATTGGGTCATGCCTGATATCATGTCATTTATTGGCCCACCTATGCCCTTCCTCTCTTCCCGCCCTCTCGTTTCCTCTCTGGGTTGAAAAGCAACTTCATTTCAACATTCAGACACGGCAGTTAGGAGCAAGAGTGATGCTATATGCAGTTGCTTATCCTTTGAAAAAACTGTGTTTCCCACCCTCTTCTACGAAATGTTATGATCGCGTTCCAAAAATTTAGCAAAAGGTACGCAACAAGGAAAATCAACACACACGGACTATTGGCAAAAACACGTGACGGGCTAATGTTACACTCGTGTACGCAACGCAGCAGATCAATGAAGCCTATGTATAGAATGTGAATACTATTGATGACAGTGAGAAACACTGATTGCAAGGCTTTCCCTCCCTTCCTCCCTCCCTTCTTATTCTATTATCTCTTTACTACACTTCTCTTTTCTCTGTCTCTTTCCTCTCCCTCCGTTCCCTCCCTCCCTCCCCCTCCCCTCCCTCCCCCCTCGTGTCCAGGTTTTCCTAGTCGTTCTTTCGCAGAGCCACTCGGCTGACATCATTCACGAGAAGGGACTGTGCATCTGGAAGGGGCAGTGTGCACCTGGCGACTGCCCAAGGGCAAATGACGACGGCTTCTACAACATTTTCAATAACACTGAGGCGTATGAAGTGACCAAAAACGAAGATCCTGATTGGTATGGCCTTATCACCGAACTATGCCCCCTTTATGCTCGTAAGTACAAAATTATAAGCGTAAAGATTTTTAAAAAACAATTTGCAGTATAATTTTGAAATAAGATTTTGATGCCAGAATAAAATCCCTAGGGAGCAAAAACACCAACTGGGTTTGGTTAATGAGTATTTTCAGTTTTCGTAATAACAACACTAGCATCTCTGGTTCGCTTTCTAAAATACAGTTGAACCTCCGAACAAGTGACACTATGGGGCCAATGATTTAGAGAGGTCGTCAGAGGTCAAATAATACGCTAAATTATTGTACCATGGGGTTGAAACAAGTGTCCTTTGTAGAGAGGTTGTCCCTATCTCGTAGGTATAATAGACTAAAGTATTAGCGTGGGGTTGAAACAAGTGTCCTTTGTAGAGAGGTTGTCCCTATCTCGTAGGTATAATAGACTAAAGTATTAGCGTGGGGTTGAAAACAAGTGTCCTTTGTAGAGAGGTCGTCCCTATCTCGTAGGTATAATAGACTAAAGTATTAGCGTGGGGTTGAAACAAGTGTCCTTTGTAGAGAGGTCGTCCCTATCTCGTAGGTATAATAGACTAAGGTATTAGCGTGGGGTTGAAACAAGTGTCCTTTGTAGAGAGGTCGTCCATATCTCGTAGGTATAATAGACTAAAGTATTAGCGTGGGGTTGAAACAAGTGTCCATTGTAGAGAGGTCGTCCCTATCTCGTAGGTATAATAGACTAAAGTATTAGCGTGGGTTGAACAAGTGTCCTTTGTAGAGAGGTCGTCCCTATCTCGTAGGTATAATAGACTAAAGTATTAGCGTGGGGTTGAAAACAAGTGTCCTTTGTAGAGAGGTCGTCCCTATCTCGTAGGTATAATAGACTAAGGTATTAGCATGGGGTTGAAACAAGTGTCCTTTGTAGGGAGGTTGTCCCTATCTCCCTTATCAAAGGTTCCACTGTACTCTGTACTACTTGTCCTTTATTTAACGGTACTCCCTCTTTCTCATGTCACCTACAAAGACAAAGACAATGATACTGCTGAAGTCTGCTGCACGGCCACCCAACTCAGCACACTCAAGAGGAACATCGGGAAGGCCCAGTCCCTCATAAATCGCTGTCCCGCTTGCCTCTCAAATTTCATCCAGCACTACTGCGTCATAACGTGCGACCCCGACAGTTCGCTCTTTATGGACGCGACGACCCTGGTTTCCAGTGCCAACGTCACTTATGTCAAAGACATCACAGTCTATATCACCGATCACTACGCAAACGACTTGTACGACTCGTGCGCAAACGTCAAATTTGCCGGAGGAGGTGCTGGCGTTATGAGCCTTCTGTGCGGAAGTGCAAATTGCAACGCGGCGAAGTTCCTCTCGTTCCAAGGAGACCCAACCCAGAATGGGGAGTCGCCCTTTCTCATCAAATACAACATAACCAACAGTACGAAACCGTATCCGAACAACATCACCCACGAAAACGACACGGGTATTCGTCGATTCTACCGCTGCGACCAGAACGTTACCGGAGGCTACGGAGGTGTCGGGGTGTGCAGCTGCTCGGACTGCCCGAGCACGTGCCCAGCTCCGCCCAAATTCAACGTCACACACCTCCCTTTCAGAGTGATAGCCTGGGGGGTCGGAGCAACCGGACTCTTCATCAGTACCGTGATTTTCATCGCCGCACTCTCGACGTCGGTGTATTTCGGGTTTTTCCGCAAGAAGAAATCGGGGTACGAGCGAATATCGGGCGCTGGTAGCCCGCCTCCGTCGAGACAGACGTACGGGGCCGCGGGGAAAGACATTGACAACAGAGAATCGTCGAATAATTCCAGTCTCAACTCCGACAGAGAAGACGAGCGGGTGGACGGTGATGGAGGAGGAGGAGGAGGGGGCCCTTGCCTGCTGTTGCCAGGTGGGGCACCAGGTGGAGAGAGGAATCAAACTCGCCTTCTACCACTGGGGCCGCTTTGTGGCCAAGTTCTGGTACCTCGTTCTCATTGTTGCCGCGGTGATTGCAGGGACCCTCTCGTTTGGTCTGTTTTTCTTCACCGTGACAACGGACCCCGTGGAGCTATGGTCCGCCCCCAACAGCCGAGCGAGACTCGAAAAGAACTACTTTGACGAGAATTTCGGGCCGTTCTTCCGCACGGAGCAGATCCTGGTGAAGGCGAAGCCGTTTGTTCAGGAATTCAACGTCACTGTCCCTCAACAAGCTGTACAATGGACCTTTGGAGCCGTTTACAATGATTCTCTTCTGCGCGAGGTAAGTGGACCGTTGCTGGTGCCTCAGACTTCCATTCCCGGTACTTCATTCCTTGTTCTTAGACTGTTCGTACAACTGTAGGTTTCCTAGGTTTTCGGTTCTATCCTACGTTCCAATACTGCCAAGATTGCATTCTAATACCGTCATTGTCTCACGATTGCAGGATCCCAGATTTCCATTCATCTCTGTCTTTATCCCATGTTTCCATTCCAATACCTTCGTTCTCTCAGTATCTCATGTTTCCATTCCAGTACTCAATATCCCATGATTCAATTCCAATACTCAATACCCCATGTTTCAATTCCAATACTCAATACACCATGTTTCAATTCCAATACTCAATACCCCATGTTTCAATTCCCAATACTCAATACCCCATGTTTCAATTCCAGTACTCAATACACCATGTTTCAATTCCAATACTCAATACCCCATGTTTCAATTCCCAATACTCAATACCCCATGTTTCAATTCCAATACTCAATACCCCATGTTTTCATTCCCAATACTCAATACCCCATGTTTCCATTAAGTACTCAATACCCCACGATTCCATTCCCGCCTGCAGGTGTACCACATTCAGAACCACCTGGCCACAATGGAAGTGGAGTACAATGATGGGTCGGGGAACAAGCCGAACATCACACTGCAAGACATCTGCTTCTCGCCGCTCGCTCCTCAGAACAGAAACTGCACCATCGAAAGTGTTCTCAACTACTTCCAGAACAACGTGACGTTCATCGACTATAATAATCCAGTAGACTTTTTCTATCATTATCCACTGCATTTCCACTACTGCACCAGGTTAGGAAGAAGAAATAGAGCAGTTTTTGCCGATGTTATAATAATTATATTGTGTAGTGTACAATGATTTGACTGACAAAAGTTTAGGGAAAAGTGATTTATGTTTCTCCTTGCCCCTCTCTCTCTCTCTCTCTCTCTCTCGCTCTCTCTCTCTGTCTCTCTCTCTCTCTCTCTCTCTCTCTCTCTCGCTTCCTCCCCCCATCTGCCAGATTTCCTTTCTCGCAGAATGATTCTCAGTTTCATTTCAACATCCCCTGTGTTGGAGAGTACGGTGGAGATATTGACCCCAAAGTCGCCCTCGGAGGCTTTCCAGGTTAACACCCACAGTGGAACCCCTCTCTCTAAGGACACCCCTGAAATGAGGACACCTCTCTAATAAGAGCGCTTTTCTTTCCCCCAAGAACAGTTCTTGCATGCAATCCAACCCCTGAAATGAGGACACCTCTCTAACAAGAGCGCTTTTCTTTCCCCCAAGAACAGTTCTTGCATGCCCTGAACTAAGGACACCTCACTAATATGGACACTTCCCATTGTAGAGCGTATCCCCAAGATTATGCACCAGTAAACAAGACAGGAATTCTGAAAGCTAGCACAACATGTTTTCCTAAGTTTACGAAAAGTTTTTTTCAAAACCACGGGATGTTTACATGTTAATACTGGGGAATTTTCAGGCTTCAGCAAGCCAACTGTCACAGCTCTAAGGGAACAACATTTTTAGAGACTCCTAACAGCTTGAACTTTGCCTTTTTCCCCCTCGAAAACACTGACTGCATAATTATACTGCTTCCAACATTCCTCGCAGAATCTGAGAGTGGTTATAACTATGACCTGGCAACGCTGCTCGTGGTGACGTTTGTCGTCAATAACCACGTGCGGGACGAGGACAACAAGAAGGCGATGGCCTGGGAACAGGCCATGCTGGATTATCTCCACGACTACAAGAAACATCACACCAAATACATCGACATTGAATATATGACAGAGGTATATAGGTGGGGGGAGGGGGGAGTGTACTAGATTAAGGCAAGATAGAGATAAGCCCAGCAAAATGAGGAATAGGAGAGAGAAATAAGGTGAAATAGGAATAGGGACAGCGAGATAAGGCGAGATGGAATAAGGAAAGCAAGATGGGAGAAAGGTAGAGTGAAATAGTATATACATAGCGAATTACATAATTATAATGTAATAGTGTATAGGTGGCAGCGAGAAAGTGTGTAGGGACTTTTTTATCGGAGAATGGGGGGGATGGGGTGAAGGTGCAGTTGGGCTAGGATTAACTCATTGTGACCGTTACTGTTCCTCGTATAATTAGTACGGCTATTATTTTTCTTCTTTTCCTTTTTCGACCCCTCCCCCTTCTCATCCGTTCCAGCGCTCTATTATTGACGAGATAAATCGTGAGAGCGAAACTGACGTCATAACCATCATAATCAGCTATCTGCTCATGTTCGTTTACATCACCATCTTCCTCGGCCACGTGCGGAGCGTCAAAACCATCTGCGTGAGTTTCGAAAGTCTGTCTGTGTTACGCCACTGCTGTGTGTGTTTGTGAGTTTTGTGAAATTGAAAGTCAGTGTGTACACTGCTGTATCCTCTTCGTAGTTTTGACATTTTTTCCCAGCTTTCTTTACTTTAGGAACTTTTTGCGTTTGCTGTCACTCTCCTATACCTTCCCTCTTTACCCTTCTTCTCTCCCTCCCTTCTCTTCTCTTCCCTCCCTCCCTCCCTCTCTCCTCCCTCCCTCCCTCTCCTCCCTCCCTCTCTCCCTCCCTCTTCAAATCGCTTCCCCGCTCAGGTTGATTCAAAGCTAGGTGTCGGTCTAGTTGGAGTTCTACTGGTGCTCGTAGCCGTGACATCATCGCTAGGGATGTACAGCTATCTCGGGATCGAATCATCTCTCATCATTCTGGAGGTCGTGCCGTTTTTGGTTCTGGCAGTTGGTGTTGACAATCTCTTTATATTGGTCCACTCTTACGAGGTACGTGTGTAAGCTTAGGGATGACTAGTTACAGTTGAACCTCTTCAATAAGGACACTTGGTTCTGCCCCATGATTACATTTGTTTATTTTGTACTAAAACGAATGCAATGCAACCGATTACTGGTAAGCGAACACAAGTGCAAAAGTTCAGTGGTTTTATGATTACATGAGCATTACAGTAGGATCAACAGTGTCGTGTCTTATGTGTAAGCAAATACGATCACGTAATTGAGACAACTAAATGTGCTCTCTTCACTCGTCACTGCGTTAAAACTGACACAAGTGATGGTATCCTACTGATTCTCTTCCGCTATGCAGCGCCAAGTGAAGAAGATAGCCGACAAATATGGCTGTAACTGGAAAGACATCCCAACCTCTGAGATAATCGGCCGGGCGGTCGGGCGACGTGGCACCGAGTCTGTTGCTAACGGGGCTCTCCGAGACGACTGCATTCCTCCTCGGTGCCGTCTCGGTCATGCCGGCCGTCCGCACCTTCTCCCTCGCCGCGGGGACGGCTGTGTTCTTCAATCTCCTCCTCCAGCTGTCGGTTTTTGTGGCAGTCATGGCTCTGGACGCCATGAGGCAGCTGGTTAGCTACAGTTAGAGACAGAACTAGAATGTTAAAATGGAGGCCCTTATATTTTGAGAGTGTAAGAGCCTTGTATTTCGAGAATTTGAGAGATTTTGATAATTTCACCAGACAGCCTCAGTTACAAATTTTTGTGGGTGTGACTTCTCTTCAGTAGATTAAGTACATTACACATGTTGTTTACGTGATTTGTGTGGTATACTCGTGTTTTGTCTTTTTCTCTCTTCTCTCTCTCACCCTTTCCTCCCTCCCTCTCCTCTCTCAGCGAAACCGTGTCGATCTGCTACTCTGCTTCCAACTTGGCGGAAAATTCGACCCTCGTGTCGGCATTGATTTCGTCGCAAAATTCATGACGTACTTCTCCAAATTTGTCCTCTATCCCCTCGTCCGCCCGTTTGTTCTCCTGTTTTTCTGTCTGACTCTGACGATGTCCGTCATCCTCATGTTCAAGCTGCAGATCGGACTCAACCAGAACCTAGCTCTCCCCAAGGTATGTATTCACAACACAACTACATTCACTTTCGTTGTGACTCATATACACCCCTTGTGATGACTACCTATGTTGTTACTAGCTGTCGGTTATTTACCTTTTCGCATTTGACGCTACTGCACTGTCCAACATTTGCCGCGGCTTGGGCAGCAGCTATATATAAGCCCCTAGACCGCCTATATTGATTCCTTACACAATATCATACTATGCAACCTACTGGTGCATGTATCTCAACTATAAAACAAGCTGAGTCTCTAATGGCCTTCAAAAAGCCACTCATCAGATACATTTTGTCTCTTATGCACTAATTATTCATTCACTTATTATGCAATACGAGGGTATGCTCATTAATTAGCCTTTATGCTATTTGTTTATCCATGCATTATGTTGCATAAACAAATTTTTAAAAAGCATATACGTAACTGAACATATCACTATTTGGTCGTGTTGCGTCTGCTCACACATAGTGCTGTCTTCCCTCCTCCCCCTTCCCTCCCCCCCCCACCCCCCCTCCCCCCATTTTTCCTCCGTCAGGATTCGTACCTCATTCCCTATTTCAACGAACTATTTGCCAACCTCCACACCGGGTCGCCTGTCTACTTCGTGATACGAGAGGGCGTCAATTTCACGAACGAGACGAACCAGAACTTCATCTGCTCCAGTTCGGGCTGCAGCGACCACAGCCTTGGGAACCAGATCGCCATTTATGCCAGAAGCCCTAGAGAGTGAGTTCGCGGCGATCGTTTAGCACGAGTAAGAAAAACGTGCCGGAACAAACGCAGTGCATTATTTGTCAGCGATACTGCCGAAGTTTCAAACACGTGCGAAATGTTGGCCGTTTTATGAATAGTTAAACCATATACTCTTGGCATCACAATACATCATGTACACGTATTTGCTCACGAATAGTGCACTGCGCTGGTTCCAGCACATACTACGTTTGTTGCCCTACATTTCGAACAAAAGTTGAAACATTAACACTAAGTATGGTAGTAGTTAGTATATAGGGATTGGCATGGTACCTAGCATCATAGATGTATGGGGCTATGATAGGGAGTTTTGTTCGTCTTCTCCTTCTTCTTAAATGAGTAAAACGGGCCTTTTTCCCGTAGCAATTCAAAGACACTTGCTTGCTCATTAATAAGGTTTTCTGTCCCAATCTCAATAGTTCTGGAATCGCCGAGTCGGCACTAAACTGGATGGATTCCTACTTTGCTTGGATCTCTTTCGACGGCGGTTGCTGTGGTTACTACAACACGACCACACCTTCTGACCCAGTCATGTGCGATAAACCAGGTGAGGGGAGAGAGGGAGGGGAGGGGGTTCGAAGGAAATAGCTTACAACTTTGGGAGGGGGAGGGGATGGGGGTTCGACTAACTTTGGGGGGGTGGGGTCGGAAAAGGGTGTAAATAGCTTACGAGTTACGCGTTGTGTTCCCATTCCATAGAACTTGGAACGGAATGTCTCCCGTGCATCCCGACCAGTCGACCGAGTCCAACAGAGTTCCGTCAGTTCATCAGATTCTTTCTGGCGCAGAACCCGAACGCCACGTGTGCCTCGGCCGGACACGCTGCCTTTGGTGACGCTGTCATACTCGAGGAAGACAACGAGACCACCTGGAGTGAGTCACATGACTATCACGTGATTAATGGATCGGATTTATGATGTCATGTTCATTGTTTGGTCTCATGATTTGCTGTGTAGAAATGATCCCGTGACTTTATCATACACTAGTTCACTCGTCATGTGATAATCTCCAGAAGTCACATGACTAGTTCACTGATCATGTGATCCTCTGCAGAAGTCACAAGACTAGTTCACTGATCATGTGATCCTCTGCAGAAGTCACATGACTAGTTCACTGATCATGTGATCCTGTATGACTACTACTACTTTTCAACTCCACATACCAAAAGTCACAGGCTTGTTAATTGATCATGTGATCACCCAAAATGTCACATGACTCCTTCACACAAGTCACATGACCTCTCCTCTCCCCCACGCAGCGTCAAACGTGATGACTTACCACGACAGTCTACAGACCTCCTCACAATTCATCAACGCCCTCAAGAGAGCTCGAGAGCTGAGTTCAAACGTGTCAGCAGAATCTGGCGGAGTTCTCGACATATTCCCATACTCCATCTTCTACGTCTATTACGAACAGTACTTGACCACTGTCAGAGATATGACTCTCAATCTTGGCCTTGCTCTGGGTATGTTACTGTGTATGTATGTATGTACCCTCGAAACTTGAGTTTATCTGGTAGCTATGCTAGTTAAGGACACCCCTGAAATGAAGGACACCTCTCTAATGAGGACACCCTTTCTTTCCCCAAGAACAGTTCAATTCAACCCTGAAATGAGGGCACCTCTCTAATGAGGAACACCCTTTCTTTCCCTAAGAACAGTTCAATTCAACCCTGAAATGAGGGCACCTCTCTAATGAGGACACCCTTTCTTTCCCTAAGAACAGTTCAATTCAACCCTGAAATGAGGACACCCTCTCTCCCTCCTCCTCCTCCCCCTCCAGTTGCGGTCCTGCTGGTATCGTTCTTTCTCATGGGACTGAACCTGTGGGCGGCCCTGGTCATAGTCGGTACGGTAGCGAGCATCATTCTACACATGCTGGGCTCCATGGCCGTTCTGGGGATAAATGCCAATGCCGTTTCGCTCGTCAATCTGGTCATGGTGAGTATTATTGCCGAGCGGATTAGCGCGAGGCAACTACTCTGGGTTGTATTCTCGCGATATGCGTACGTACGTGTCGGTCACGCTTAAGAATGTCAATTAGTCACGCTGTCAATTAGTCACCAAAAGGAAGTGTGGCTTCGCACGCAGTCAGTAGAGCGCGCGCACGAGCAGCCTCAGTCGGACTGTTTACGCATTGGCTGGCAGGCGCGAGGCAAAATATGCGCGTGCGCATTCCTAGTAGTAAAGTAGAATGGGGTTTTTGTAATCGAGTTTAGCTCCCGTTTCTCTTCAAAATTCTGCCCCTCTATATAGCTCTAATGTGATGCTGAGGAGACTTTTCTATGCCTTGCAGTATTTAGTAGGACGGGCGCCTTTTGCTTTTTTTTTTCAAATTAGGGGACTTTTGGTGTATGATGGAAATTCAACTTCCCCTCCTCTTCCTCCTCTCTTACAGACTGTTGGTATTGCAGTGGAGTTCTGCGCCCACATTGTCCGCTGGTTTGTCTCTTGTCACGAGAGGTCGAGAGTCGAAAGAGCAGAATCATCTCTTCGCCACATGGGAGCCTCCGTACGTTTCCTCCTCCCCCTATCTGATTATTCGATGACGTCACTTCCTTTTCGGCTGCATTATGCTACGTTCATTTTACACCTAACTATGACATCGCTTCCATTTTCACCCACAATTTACAGTTGGTCCATGAACAACTTTCACTTCCTCTGCCGTTCATTACATCACTTCCTTCCTTTGTCCGCATATCTGTCTGAATTTAGACCATGAATATCGTTACAGGTATTCAGCGGTATCACGGTGACAAAGTTCCTGGGGGTCTTTGTGTTGCTATTCGCCAAGTCTCAGTTGTTTGAGGTCTACTATTTCAGGATGTACATGTGCATGCTGCTGTGGGGAGCTCTGCACGGGCTGGTACTGCTACCTGTTGTCCTTAGTTACATCGGTGAGTGGAGGAGTTCTTCTGTCTTCCATTTCTTCTTCTTGGCGGCTTCGTCTGTGTTTTCTCACTCTACCTATTATCTCTCACTATTTCACCCTTTCTCTTCTTCCGCTCTTTAACACTTTCTCCTCTCTCACTATTTAACCCTTTCTCTTCCGTTTTTAACCCCTTCTCCTCTCTCTAACTCTTTCTGTTTCCTCTTTTAACCCTTTCTCCTTCCTCACCATTTAACTACTTAAAACCGCTTCTGTTCTCACTATTTAATTCTTTAACTTTTTTAACCCTTTCCATCCTGCCCTCAGGCCCTCCCTACTGCCCCAACAGGACGAAGTCCCCCTATAATGACTCTCGTCTTGGTCAGATCCCAGCTGTCCCTACCAACACAGCAGACCAGAAAAACCAGCCTGTAACCAGTTACGATCCTGCTGCTCCGCCTACTGATCCACCCAGTTATGGAGGGTATCTTGCAGCCACGCCCACAACTAACGGAGGGGGCGGTGGCCGGCTGTACCCTGACCTCTGGGACGGAGCCGGAGAGTATCCCGTGGCAACACGACCACGAGATGGGTGTAACCAGCCGAACGAGACCTCGGCACTTCTAAACTGACAGAACAAAAAAATTAATGTGTGTCTTGAGACTCCATAAGTGTGGCTATTTCACTCCTTGAACGTGTGCATATCGTGCAGTGTTTTATTGGCATAATAGTATGTAATTGAACTGTGCAAACTTATTAATTATTTGTCTTGTGGAATCAATTCACAACAAAAAGTTAAAAAATAGCTCATCTTATCTTTACACCAAATAAAACATCACACACATACATGTACATATGCACAAATAATGTCACAATAGTTTACAGCCAGCTCCTTTGATAGTACAGGCTTGGCCCGTATTCATTCCGGTCCATCCCATCCACAAATGGGATACCAACTGGTCCACCCCCGGTGGAGCAGACGCAGTCGTCGTCGTGGTTACAGCAGGGGGCGACTTTCTCGGTCCAGTCCATGTCGTCGAGCTGGGCCTTGGGCGGTGTTCCGATGGACTGAGTGTGCTCCTTGATTATTGCGTCCAATTCTTCCAGGAGTCCCGTGTAATCACTTGCATCTAGCGGAATCTGCAAATGGAAAAAGCTGCGATTTAAACTTCCATCACTTTTAGAAGCTTTGACACAAGCCGTTTCAATGGTCAATTTACTGCATTACAGATCCACAAAATTTTCATACTGGCACAGACAGACATAAAAATGTTTCGACAGATGCACAAAAATATTACGTTTACAGAGTTTTCTTGCTTTTGACACACAAAATGATTACAGTCAAGTGTGAAGTTAATGAGGACGTGATAATGATATTACAACTGAAAGACAACACACAATGGGTCCCAAAAGATCACACACATGTAAAACGCCAACAGGGCCGCCAAAGACAAAGGCAAAAAACAAAATCAGGTTTCTGAGTTTTAGAACACCATCTCGATCCTCCAGCCTCCCTAAATCTGCTCTGCATGAAAATTCTTTCCACTGGTTCTGAGAGTGGCTGCTGCAGAGGCGCCACATGCAACAAGGAGTCGGACAACTTGGCTGTTGTTATGTAGTGCTGCTGTGTCGAGTGCCGTTAACCCTCTTCTGTCCCGATACTCGAGTTGGCAGAGTCCGTGAGTGAGGAGATAGGCGGCAAGCTTTGTGTAGTTTCGTACGGCAGCAAGATGGAGGAGAGTGTCGTGGTTGGTGCTGGTTTGCATGACTCGGTTGAGTTCGTTTGTGCTCCCCTTTCGTTGGAAGTGATCTTGCACGTGTTTTAGAATAGCCAGCTCGTCTCTCTCGCTCGTACTCGCCGGTTTCATGTCCCGGTGAGCTGTTTCGGCGTCAAGGAGAAGGCGAGACATATCAGAGCTCTCTGCGAGGTCGATCGCTCTCTCTCCGTCCACGTTTTTAGCCTGAGTCAGACACAGCTGGCCGTGAGCGAGGATGAATTTCGCAGCTTCTACGTCGTCCATTGTGGAAGCTACGTGGAGTACGGTCCAGTTTTCGCCGTCGCAAGCAGCGAATTCGGCCCCGGCGTCAGCTAGGATTGCAAGTGCCCCCAGTTGGTTCTCGAAAACACAGCGCATGGCCGGAGTAAGCCCACACGGTTCCCGTTCGTTGACAATCTTCGACCCAAACTCGTTGATCAACCTCTCCATTTCTTTCAAGTCGCCCTCGATAATGGCTTGCTGTAGCAGCACGTTTGGAGGAAACCGAACTCCCCTTTTTTTCTTGCCCTTCTTCTCGACCGAAGTGAGCTGAATCAAATCCAGGGGGCAAGGTGCCCCCGGATAACTGTGCGAAATCTCTTTCATTTCTCCAGCACCTTTTCGCTCCGTTTCTGCAAGGATGGAAGTCAGCTGTGACAGGTCGAGGAGACTGCGCGATCTCTCTCGATACGCCGTCGCTGAACGAAACTGGCCACCGCTGTCGGGGGTCCACGTGGGCTTTTTGAGGATTCCTTTACGACGAGGACAAGGAAGAGGAGGTGACAGCTGAGAGGCAGAGGAGGGAGATGGAGGTGACAGCTGAGAGGCAGAGGAGGGAGATGGAGGTGACAGCTGAGAGGCAGAGGAGGGGGGTGGAGGGACAGCTCTGATCGCTGTCACTGCAGTCTTCGTTTGGAGATGCACTGACATGATTTTTGACGTACTCGATAATTCACCGGAGGTTTTTCTTTTACTTGATGAAGAGGTTGTTGATTTTGTAGGTCGTTCCTTCCAGGGATTTTTTTGATTCTAGTCGATTTGGATATTCCAGAAGTAGAGTTGTTGTCGTTGTCGGCAGTTCTCTCAGCTGAGGATGCTCGGAGCGAAATCCCGAGGGCTTTTATAGCGCTCCCACGGCGGCTCGAGTCGGAAATTAAGCAACCACCCACGTGACCCACTCAACTTCCAAGGGAAATCATTACCTGTGATATCAATACCCCATAAAGCGAGGCTCGTGAATATCATTATAATTCATGCACACCACCGAAAAGGACAAAGTCCATCTTTAACCAGACAGATCAAGAGGTGGCAGATTGCAATGTTGTTGTGCAGCGTACAGCGGAATCTCCTTAATCCGGACACCAATGGGACAGACGATATTAGTCATGAGTCCTTACTTCAGGGGTTAAATTGCATGCAATAACAATTATATCTGGGGAAAGAAAGGTGACATTATTAGAGAGGTGTCCTCATTTCAGGGATGTCCTTAGAGAGGGGTTCCACTGTAATTTAGCGCACCAATGTGACATGAACTTAGTTTGTAAACTACTTATGGATCTTACAGCTTCAGATGGATCTTGTGCAAGATTGTAGAGAATGGGCGGATTGTGGGTCTGAATTGAGCGAGGAAGAAGGGAGAGGGAGAGAGAAGAGAAACAGGGGGAGAGAAAATAGGCTCCATGTATATAATATTACGGCATTGTGTTACCTTAATTCGCAATTTGGTAGTAAGTCATGTGCACATACTACAATGCTGTACGTGATTCTAAATTGTAAATTGAACTACTCGTGTTCGGCTGCCAAAAAACCCTCTGGCCCCCTCAGGGGGGGAGTGCGGACAGGCAACGTACAGGAAGGAGCAGGATAGAAATGGAAAGAAGTGGTATAGGGAAGGTAGGGGCGACTGTGTTGAGTGCCTTCACGCTCTACTGACCCTGGCTCGGCGGGATAGCCCGCCTCAGGCACTGCGCTGGCACAGGGTTTTTTGCTGATTATGATTTTATCACTTGGGCCAAGCCCCCGACCAGTTTTTCCTGATACACGTCTTTCTGACTGTCGGGGGGTTCGTATCACCTGTTCATATACGGAGGCGTCGGCGGTTCATGTCGTCTGTGCGCCTCCATGCTCAGTTTGGGGGATCCCCGCACTATCATGATTTGAAGGAGGGCCTCGAATACTTGCTGATCATAAGGTGAGTTCCCGATTCCAGCACTCGTGCGAGGTTGGGACTTGTACGAGCATCAACCAACACACTATTAAATCAACGAGAAGATATCACGCGTATTTCCTTACTAGGTTCCATACGAACTCTCACCCGGAGTTTTCATGATCTCTGTACAGTCCTTGTCACTAGCCTACCTTCCACCTTCTCACATATCCTCTTTACTCTTCACTAAGCCCTATATCTTCCGTCTTTCCGGTTCGTCGTCTTCGTCTGATCGTTCTGTTTATGTATTTCTCAATATTTCCCCCCTTTTTCGTGCCTCATTTTGTCCATACACGTACACCTCGCCTCTCCATCCATCCGTTAATGCAACCTATGCCATACAGAACACCAGCACTGTTTCTTCTGCATTTGGGTTTGCACTCCCTTCCTCTGTATTTCTTCCCTGGTGACAACAGGCTCGCTAGCTTCCAATTATCTCACTGATAAGTATTGTGCTTTGTGCGTCCTGTGTTGTTCCGCTCTTATCCTTCATTTGTGTTACCGTCAAATGCCTGACTTCACTATTAGAAATTCCCTATGCACTCACTTCCATTCATAATTTGCAGCCCCACGAAACCCCGCGTGGCCCCATTGGTAAGGGTCTGGCATGCTCAGAACTCTGCTCGACTGGCATCGATTAAAATAGCGCGCAGAGGCGGAGACCGAGGCCGTCTGCTGCCTGCTCACGCGGCGCTAAGGTAGGCCGTAAAAGCGCGCCGTGGAATCCGAGTAATA